TAGGGCTGTGGTTATAAATGTAAGGCTTGATTATTCCCTACCCTAAAAGGGGAATGTGTTTTTACTGCCATTGCTTCAGGCTATGTGAGGTTGTTTTGTTTTGTTTTGTTTTTTAACCCCCACCATTGTTAATAGGTCACTTTGTTCCTGTCAGAACAGCATATCCATCTGCCTATTTAAACTGTCTGCATGGTAATTTGGAAATTGGCTTAACTCTGCTATTCAGTTTCAATATGTCCATATAAAAGAAGATGGTTATGAAAATATACACGCTGTACACCTAGTTAGTTAATTCTGGAATTTAAAAAATACATTCCATGTTGGAGTTGTAGTTATTGGTCTTCATTTGCAAGAATGTTTCACTTGTTTATCACTATAAAAAAAAATTACAATGATTTGATTGTGTTTAAACTGTATACAAATGATTTAATTGTATTTCCTGTCCAGGTCAGAGAATACTGCCCAACAGCCTTCTGTCCAAGGGTTTTTTGAGACAGACAATATCACTTATGCTCCTGGATTTGATAAACACAGATAGCAGAAAGCGTCATTAGCCCTGTGTCAATCGTTAATGAAAAAATTGCTTTCACTTTTAAATTTTTTTTTTGTTGTTCAGTTGCATTTTTGAAAGTAGCGTAGAACAGTATTGTAATGTTTATGGATGTCTGTGCTTTGCATTCTTCCAGTCTTCAAGTCTGTGTTGATTTGCTTCATCCAGAATTTGGCTAGAATTAGCCCCACTTTGATCTACCTCACCTATAGTCATATCTTCTGATGTTTCCCAATTTCAGGAGCTCAGTATTTTTGCTACAACCAAATCTTTTGTTTCCATTTCTAATGTGAGGTACTCCTGAGGTGATAGAGAGTGTTCCTTACAAGAAAATAATACTTTCCTTGTCAGAGAGAATTATTTTCATGGAACTCACCAGAAATTCACCTCTTTCATATGCTAAATTATTTAATGAAACCTTCAGATGGTGGTAATTTTTACTGATTTACAATTTTCAAGATCTGCAATGCTAGTGTTATCTAAGTTTTAATTTGGTTTATAGTTAAAAGGCTGTTGCTTTGTCCAAAAGGACCTATATAGTTTCAACTAAAAATTATTTACTTTGCTATCGAGATAAAGTCATTATTATTTTTACCATCACATACTGAAATATTTTCAGCATTATCAGAATTAATTATTCTTCACAAGAAGCTTTGAAAAAACTTGAGTTTGATGTTTCAGCTCAGTTGTCATCTTTACCATTAAAAACATTGAATGTGCATTTGTAGCTTTACGCAAATATTTCAGCAATACCTTTACAAGAATGTAGGCACTCATGATAATTGTCTGTGTAATTCATTACATGTGTTTCTACTCATGCACCATACGATTTTTGAGACAGAGATCACTTTCACAGAAGTGGTTATTGAAATGTGGTAGGGAAGACAGTGTACTTGTTGCTCGGGTTAATAATCTTTGTAGTCATATTCTACATCATCGTCTTGACTGCATGGAAATTATTTTTGTCCTGAATAATTAAATACTCGGTAATTTTGATTTGTATTACTGTGGCATCTAGAAGCTTAAAGTATGCACTAGGCTTATCAAGTTTATCAAAATACAGATGAAACTTAAAAAAAAAAATTCTTTTTTCTCCCCAGTTTATTGTTGCTGGCAGATTACTAGGAGGAAGAAAGATTACAAATGGAAAAATTACAACAAAATTACAGATTTTGTGATGAAACTATTCTTATCCAACAAGTTATACTTTTTTCTTCTTGTAGTCCTTTAATTTTAAAGAAAATGAGTCAAGGGGCAGGACAATTAAAATGAGAAACTGCAGCTAATTGAAGCTGATAAGTACTGATGTATTTTTGTTCCCCAACTTAAAAAGAAATCATCTAAAAATGTGAGGAATTTTCATAGGGCCATCATTTAGAATTTTAAAAAATAAATACTTCAATAAATTTTGTCAAAATCAAGCACAAACAGCCTTCACACATACTAATTCTGGTTTTACTAGACGTTTGTTACTTCTGAATTTTCCCTAAACTGATATACAGTGAGTCAGCCTGCATGCATCAGTTGAAATAAAATATGAATTCAGTACGTTTAATGGTATTTCTGTCTTTTTTTAGTGGATCAGATGTTCTGGGAAGTTATGCAGCTGAGAAGAGAGATGTCACTAGCAAAACTTGGCTATTACAAGGAAGAGCTCTAAATCTTTTTACTCTTGCGCATGCATGAACTTCATTGAATATACATAACTAAAGTTGCTGAATCTTTTTTTGTCACTTGGTATTTATTTCCACAAAGTGGGTCCAGATCTTTTTCCTTTTGCAGATTGCACTAAGAAGTACTGTGATTGTTTTAAATTGACCTATTCTGTATATGCATACATATAATACTTAGTTGAACAAATGTGGTAAGCACTTGCAAGGTGTATTAGTGACTGTAATTTACATTTAAAGACAAAACTTCTGATTAAAGTGCTAGTCTGAAGCAGTGTCTGTCTTCTGTTCTTTATGGTGTAGAATGATGTGAACCTCCCTGATGAGTCATTTCAAAATGTAAAACTGAGATGATTTTTATGAAGAGAGAATAAATGCCTGACATTTTCTTCACTGTAGTGTTTAGATACCTCTATGTGTGTGTCTCTATGCATGTATGCCAATACAGTTAACAGACAACTAGGAAAACGTGGAATTCTTTGAAGTGCCGCTTTCCTATATTTTTCAGTTTTTTTAAAACAATGTAAGAAGAGAAACATATATAGTGAAGAACCAACAGCATAATAAATCTGGGTATCTTTTCTCTAAAGGAGGGTGCTTTTCAAACATCAAGGAACAATGGAATTACCTTGGTCACTGTTTGGTTAGAAATTGATCCTGACTCCTATCCGACTGCTAAAAACTTTTTCTTCCCCTCTAATTTTCTTTCATTAGAATTTTTAAATTCCTTTAAATATTTTTTTTCTCTTTTGGGGAGAGGATTTTCAGTTTCCAATGTTTTATACATCAGTTTCTAATATATTTATTTTTATACATCAGACTTTCTACACTGAAAGCAGACAGTCAGGTGAGAAGGAACACAGTTGTGGGTATGTGGTAGACTTGCTATGTAAAATCCCTTTGGAAAAACACTAGGTCTTGATCATGACAGCCATTTATCAATTATGAGTGCATGCTTAAAGCATTGGCAGGTAAACTGGCAAACATAAGAAGTAAAGACAAGTTTATATATATAGCCTGTTCTTTAACAAGAAGCATCTCAGTGGATACAGATTTATTTTGTTTAATGCAGAACACAGACAACGCTATCCATCACTGTCTTACTCGGGAGTGTTCTTTATTTTTACAAAAGCAAAGGGAATGATCAGTGAAATTTAATACCATACTTGTGTTGCTTGCACGTGTACATGCCTGAAAACGCTTTGCAAGCATTGGCTTTGATCAGGCATTTCAATGTTAAGATTAAAACAAACAATTGGACCTAAATATTTTACTAGTAGTGGAGTATGTCCAGCCTGGGCTATTTCAGTACTGATGAAATATTTTTATCAATCTCCTGTCACGGAGTACTAGTTCCTACTGTAGAAACCTGAAAGAATTCTACTTTCTGTTGTTAAACGGTTGTTTATTATTTCAGTAATGTGAAGTAAGTCTCATTTTACTCACTCTTGGAAAGCAAACTATAGTTGTCAGTACTGTGTTTTATGTTAGGCTCATAAATGCTTCCTAAATGATTGTTAATCCTTAGTTTGCATAATGAAATCAAACGGTTTCCAGGATTAGTTTAACAGTAGGGAAATGCTAGCTAGTAGCTGCTGCTATTCTGACTTAATAATCCTTTACAAGGATTCATTCAAGCAGAGAGAAGGGTCCTTTCTATACGTGATAGCGTCAAGACATAAAGGTATCTAAAGTTCATTACGCTGAGGTGATTTTCTTGTACGTTGGGTACGTCTTTGTAGTCCCTAGTATCTCAGTGGTAATGACTGGCTCGACTACATCAACATCTTATGAATACTGATCAGCTTGCTTCTGTCTTCAAGTCCCTTCCCTGAATTTTTTTTCTATGTTTTTAATATAAGCTGCTTATCATGAGAAAGAGGTGTCACTGTGAGTGCCTGGGGCTTGTAAAAATTGCGCAACAGTTACTGGTGAATATAACCACTTCAGAAAATGGCCTTATTCCAGACTACTTGACTTCATTGAAGCTTTTGTTCATAATGAAATGCTTCTTACAGATGCCTACTACAAACAACTTGAGTATTTTTTTCCTGTTTGCTTAGGGGTGACAGAACAGGGCAATTTTCAGCGTACAAAGATCAATTTAAAGAAAGTGAACTATGGTTTGCTACTAGCCTTAAAAGACCTTTGTTCAATGTTCAGCTTTCCCATATGTTTTTCAGTGTTACCACAGACAAACAGGTTAATCTGTAATTTAGTTTTGTTGATCATAGTGTAGAACTTCTGCTTCCCTATAATCAAACTGCTGTGATAATACAACTTTTTTAGAGCAGTTGGATAGTCCAATGCTCAGCTGCTTAAAAGTGATAGTACATACGGTGAAACTGGTGATGGCTTTGCTCTTGTATTTTTGATTACTGTTGCCTTCATCAGTAGTATTAATGACATCACCTGTGTGAAAGTACAGAGACAAGTAATTTTTATTGCTTCATTTTTTGCTCATGTGTAATTATGGTTAGTACTGGGACCAAAGGTCCTTAAAACAAGGACATAAGATAAATTGAACGGAAGAATGCACATCACCTTCATCTTGCCTCAAAAGCCTTGTTGGATTCTCCTTTGCATGTTGCACAGTTCAAGTGTAGCCCTGGCTGTAATTATGGAGGAATTAAATCAGCTGGGACAAAGTCATTGACATCTCTGACAAAAACACGATGTGTTCCTTGGCATGTTCGTAATCATCTGGAAGAGAGACAGCGCATTTTTCTCAGTAGGACTCTTCAAGCAGTAGGAAAGCAAAACATTTCTCCTGGCTTTTCATGGATGTGGTGGGAGAAAATGAGGCCTTGCAGCAGTTCTTTGAAGGTAAGAGTCTAGTTTTAAGAGAGAGTCTTAAAAATTTTTTGGTGGCAGCAAAAATATGGTAATGGGGTTAACTGAAGGAGGAAGAAAAAGATCCCCCAAAGCTCTGTTCACACAAAGCTGTCGTGTGAGGCGATGCCAGAATGAAATAGTACCAATGGTACAGATGTGTTGCAGTGCCTTTTTATTTGTACTTTGGTCAGAAGACCGAAGGGAAGGTGCACCCAGCAGAGCCCACAGTACCGGCCCGGTAATTGCCAGGAATCAAAACTGGGAAGTGGCTGAGGGCTCCTTGCAGTTTATCACTTCTGAAATCTGAGCAATTTTCAGGAGATTAGAGAACTCTTTCCCTGCTGTATCACTTCATCTCAGCTTAAAGAGGGGTTTCTTTCCACTAATATTCTTCTGAAACAACCTGACTAGAATTGGTAAAATGACAATTGTGGCAGTATCATTGGGATTCTTCTGAGAAGTTAAACTGATTTTTTTGTCTTTTGGCTGGGATCTGTCTTTGTGCGTTTTTCCCTAAGACATTTTACATTCAAGCAGGCCCTGTTAGTTTTCTGCCTTTCTCTTGCCACACAATTTACTTTCTAATAGATTCCATAATAAAACTGTGTTTCTCAGGCCCTGTTGTAACATGATTCAAAATGACTGTTCAAAGGCTTATGAATTTTTTACTTTTCTATTGTTTATTAAATCTTTGCTTTCCCTTCTTCAGTTTACACTGTGGGGTTTTTTTAATATTAACTTTTCTATTCCAGGCTTCTTTCTGTATTTGTGTTCTTTCTATTACCTGTGCAAGAATTCATGTGATACTGATCTCAAAGTAACTTGGAAAACTACCTTTTCAGTTTTGGATAATGTGGACAATTTTTGTTCCCCTGCATTTGATTTCCATTATGCTTAATTAAAGATTCTCCAGCATTGATAAATAAAATGTATTTAAGACAAGAAATTTAAATTAGTGAACCACAGTCTAGGGCTGCTAGCCAGAAAATGTGTTGTTTATAGATGTTAGGAAATTCATACCATGTTTCTTGAGTTCTTGACGTTAAGTCATGGAGATCAAAAGCTAACAAATTTTCTTGGCTTTGCTTTCAGCAACATGATGTTTGTTTTTATCAACCTATTTGTTCAAATACTGCATTGCAGAGTTGTTAAATACTCAAGATAGTGTTGGACATAAATAAATTTTAAAAATTTTCAGAATATATTTTTAGAAACTGATTTGGAAAACAGGGCTTTCTAGGGAGTATGGGTTGAGTTCTGTTGGCTTTTGTGACGATGATACTTTGATGGTAGAAGGTATCTCAGATTTTCCCTGTATGAACTCTTTAACAAGAATTACTAATTGTAATTCTAAAATTACAATCAGTACTTTACCCTTTTTTAGAAATTAGTTTGGTAGAACATCTGTCTGGGCCAGTGTGAAGGGGAGAGGCCCTGTCAATTCCATTTAATGGCAGGAAAAAGGAAACGTTTTGGGAGGTTATGTTCCTTTGGTAATGTGTGGTTCTGCTGTGTAGTGCTAGAATACAACAAAGGTCTGCTAACGCCATGCAGCTTGCGGGGATGCTGTTAGATGGCTGAATTTCATTATCTGGACACTGAGATTAGACGTGTGTCAAGGCTACAAGAGCTAATCATTCATTCAGCGTGCAGTAGCTAGGCTCCTCTTGCTGTTAAACCGTAGGTAAATCTGAAAAGGGAACGCGTTGATTTAAAGCAGGGTTTGCACTCTTTTCAAGCAGGGGTTAGCTTCACTGAATGTCAGGCCAGCTTTAACGGAGGGCCTCTCTCTGCTTTAGCACTACGGCTTCTGGGTTAGCTTTATAATGCCACCTCATGAGGCAAGAGTAATAATCTGCTAGTGCTAACTTGGTGGCCTCTGAGATTAGTCACAGCGGTGTTAGAACATCGTCTTTCAAGGCTACAAAAAAAAGCTGAGTCCTGCAATATCAAGTGGAGAATGCCATTGCTGAGGAAGTCTCTGCTTTGTCAGTGATTCAGTTTTGGCTTCCAAATGCATCAGCTGGCAGCTAAGCATGTTTATAGATCTGTCTTGTAAGATTATTTGAAATTAGTTGAGCGAAAAGGATCCCATTTTCTCCATTGCATTAGTTCCTTACAGTGCATATTTGTTTTGACACTTGTTAGTAAGATAAACTCACATTGGCAATATTGATAGGGGACAGTCTGAAAAAGGAGGGGTTTTTTCAAGGAAAATGAGAGAATGTTTTCCTGCCAATCACTTTTTTCAAGTTATTAGACCTCTTAGATTAGATATGACTGACTGAGATTTGACCTTGGCTTATTCTCGTTCAAGTAAATGGCTTTTGTCTTGTGGCTGTGCTGGGAAGTTCTTGTCTTCGTTTCTGTTTCATTTCACTCTCACACTAGAGATTTCATTGTTGGTGTAAGTTTTTTACTATGATTTGTTTATATTATTGTTTTTAATTAAAACATTTGCATTTTAGAATCAGTAACTTCCTATTTTTCAGTGGAAGATCAGAACTCCTTCTCAGCTCTCGTGTCTCTGTGTAATAGAGCAATCTGTTCTTCCTGACATTATCAATGGGTTGAGAAACTTGAATCAAGGCTGACATATTTACACTGTTAAACTCAGTCTTCTATCTTTTGTTGTTGTTGTTGGAAGGTACATTGAGGTGTCTGAAATGTGTTTGGTCTCAGTGCTCTCTGTGATCTAAATAAGTCTCTTAGTGGAATCACCACACTTCTGTATACTCATGCTCCTGCGTGGATAACATGGTATATAGTTTAGAACTCTGGGTAAATAAACTGAGCCACAGAACAAACATGCCATTAAACACAAAACACTTAAAACCCAGAGGTGTCTTATACTATTTTAAGGATGAGAGATTGAAACAGGAATAAAGATGAAATGAGAAATTTAAAATATTAATGGTAAGATTTGTTTCTCTGGCAAATGTTACTTTGGGGAACAGCCACCTATCTTGACACAAGCTCACTCCTTACCATGTGGAGTTACATATATGTGACGGTGAATAACCTAGGCTGTGATGGGTCCTGGCTGGCTGCAGTTCTGCCAGCTACAGCTGTTTTGTCCTTAAACCCTTCCTGTTTCCTGCTGCCGTGTGCCCGAGGTTCACATCCGTAGCTGTGCTGGCCCAGTAGCTTTTATCAATGACTCCAGGTCTGTTCCAGTCAAAATGAACTGGACTGTCTTGAACAATTTAGTGACCAGTATTTGAAGTTCTTTAGCATGAAAGAAGTTATGCAACTATAAGCCCCATAAGTAATACTCACCTTAGTGTAAGTCAATGAAGTTCAGCTGGACTTTCCACTGAGCCTGTATAGTGGAACTCATAAAGTGCTGAGGCCTGTTTTAGTGGTAAAGTGTCTTCAGCTGAAAATCAGTTAATAATTCTCCAGCAGAAACATTTCTCTCAAGATGCAGGGGATTGTAGCAAACATTGTGAATTTTTCCTTTGAGCAAACAGGTATTACTGAGCACTGACTGAGTTCTGTGTGCCATTTTTACATCTCAAGCTATGTTTAAGGATTGTTCCCCATATAGAGTAGCTAATGTTTTAACACTAATTTTACTACAAATAGCTGGACTTGGCTGGGAACTTTCTGGCATCCTCTTTTAATGTCAGGAAATGATCAGTTTAGTATTGTCAATACTAGGAGATTGACAGAATATTTTACTGGTTACAGACTGAATTTATGTTTGCAGGAAAAGCACCACTGTAGCCTGGTTATTTGGGTACTCTTTCGGAAAGTGATGGCTGTGGTTCAAGCCAAATTCACAAAACTGTGTGACTTTCACTGAAATAGCCACTCTGTTAAAGATGTAAAACTTACTGCAAGGAATTCCTGTTTCTCTGTCCCCCACCCTTCACTTTGCTTTGAGATATTACTGAGAAGGAGGCAACTGATTTAAATGCAGACATATGTAAGGCACTACATGGAAGTGTTGGGGGAATTAATCAAGGCAGGTTATTCAGGGATTGAGACTGTTGGCTACAGGACTATAGGGTGAAGCTCAGGAGCCAGGTGATGAGAGTCTCAGGGTGGGAGAAAAGGAGGGAATGCCTGCCAAAGAGCAATATGTGAAGTAAACAGCTGCCAGATTAGGAGGCTGGAGTTCAGGCGGCTCCTTGGGGGCCTGGGGCTTGGAATTAGGGATAGACTAGGCAAGAAGGGACAGAGAAATGCAAGCCAAGGATAGAACTGACAGGTTTTAGACTTCAGATTGAAGAGGGCTGAACAACAGAATATCAAGTTTATGAAGAAATGAGAAAAATATAGTCATGCTGCCTATGACTGCAGTCTGTTCTGCAAACAACTGTGTGTGAAACTGCAGACACAGTACGGTCTTGGCCTTTCATCTTCACCAGTTTCTCGGGTAGCTGGCAATCCTTTGCACAGTGACACTAAAGTTGGATGTGTCACCCAGTGCAGACTCTTCCCAGAGATGTCTGGGCACATTGTGGTCTGGAGTGTGGACTGGGAGCAGAGATCCCCAAGCACTAGCTGATAATTAAGGCTGCTGACTCCACATATTCTCTGGCAGCTCTTAGCCAGCAGCACACCTCTCAGCAGGGCTTGTCCCTCCACATGTACTCATTTCTCTGCTCTTGCAGCCACCCAACATCCAGGCGAGCGTCTGGCTTGCATGCTAGCCGTATCCATTAAGTACTTATTGTGATCAATTGCCTCTGAAACAGATGCCACCATTTTAAATAAGTTTGCATGTGATCCAACAGCTCCCCTGCTGCTGAAACAAATGCCAGTGCAAGCACAGGGTGCCACTGGCCTGAAAGTACATTCAGAAAGAAAGAATCAAGTTCTACAGGGCAGGCAAATGTACTGGCTCTTCTGTGCACTTGTATCACAAACTTTTATTTGTGGTGGCCTGGCTGCTTCCTGGTGTGCTACCATCCTCTCTCAGCACAGTATTACTTATTCCTTCCTCCTCCTCCCCATTTAACTGTTTATGCAAAGTGGAGAGATTAAGAGAGAATGATACATATTGCTGTTGTCATCACTTAGCAACAGATCTGATCTCTGGACTGTGGGATGCCCATACTAGAGACCCTGTCCTTGTTCCGTTCATAACTGTACTTCAAAAGAGCTTGTCTCCGACCTTGGTCAAAATAAGGAATTCTGGTTTTGTGGTACAGGAAAAACACTTTATATTTGACGTCTGGCCTCATGTTAACAATAAAATTGTATCATTCTGTATGAGGGCCAGGCAATTTGAACAAGAGGAATAGGGGGGTACAAGGAGGAGAAGGTGATTGAATAATTTTCCTGTAGACTGCATTAGCAAAAGAAGCGTTTGAGATTCAAGGAGGGATATCCTAAATTCAGACATGAACGAAAAGATGAGAATCCAACAAGTCTGAGGGAGGCTGCTAAGGAAATCCAGGCTCATCTGTACTCTCAAGCTGTTTTTTCAAAGTGCTTTGTTGCTACTTCAAGACTTCCCATGTTACAGTTTTGCTGAGGCAAGTATGTATGCTGCACTTATCAAATCTGTTCTTCTCTGATGTGTGGAAGACAGGTTTGTATGCAACGCCAGTACACGGGGATGCAAGGATCTGTCAGTAGCACACCTGCAATTCACCATCTCACAGTGAAAGGCAGCCAAAATTAGGTCTGCAGCAGTGAAAAGCAAACGATGCCTAGATTAATCTGTGATCACAAAGCAACTCAGGAGCTGTTTATTAGCAATGTGGGTTTATGTATTAAGAGAAACACATGTGGGGATTCTAACCTTTTGCGTTCTCCCGCTCTGCTGCAGAGCTGAGGGGAAACGGCGGCTGTCGGCCCTGCGGCCTGGGCCCACGCAGCTGGGGCTGTACCGGCCTCCATCTTACCTCGGGGAGCTGCCGGGCAGCGCCAGGCACGGCGCCCGGCCTCGCTGGCGAGAGCGGCAGCTCCCAGGCCCTTATCTGGTTCGCTTTCTGACCCGCCACACCCGTGTTTGTGGAAGGCTGGCTGGGGAGCTGGGCAGCCTACAGAGCCCTGCTGGTTGGTTGGCTTTTTTAGAGAGTTCCGGCTGACTTTCTGCAAAAGTTGTCATGAATTCTGGTGAATTTATAATCATAAAATTTGTTTGTAGCCTTCAGTTACCAAGCAACAAAGGGCAAAGTACCGAACCTTTCTATTCATTAATATTAATAAATTTAACATGCTAGTGGGCTGTTTTTTCAGGGACAATAAAAGGAAGCCACCAATCAAACACTTCTAAACCTTTATTTGTGCTTTCTGTAAGCTCAGGGTGGTGTATTTTTAAACTCGGTGTTTTAGAAACTCGCTTGCAGTACTAATGCAGAAAATGGATCTGTGTGAGACAATGTCTGAGCTTTGACCCAATCGCCTCACCAGTGTAAAAGACTATGAAGTTATCTTCAAACCCCCTTTTTCCAGTTGCAGACTGGGGCCCTTCAACCTCTTGCTGTGGTAATTCAGTGAAGCCTTCATGCTATGCATGAACCGGTGTTTCCCTGGTGCTGCTCTGCCATCTTCATCTTCCCCCGCACATTCTTGTTTACTCTGCATTTCCCCTCATCCTTTCTCCCCTTGACTAAACCAGAAGCGTAACCCACCTGTTACACACAAAACAGGACGGATCTGGTTTTCCTTTGTGCAGGAGAGAGGGCAGCATTACTTAGTCTGAAGTATTTACAGTTCCTTTCTAATTCCACTCTCATAATTTGTCTTCTTGATATTTTTAATTTTAGGGCAAGATGTCTATGGAGCCTTGGAGAATCCCATGGTGGATACAAGTATGTTGGAAGAATTCATCAGCAGCGATGCAGAGTTTGGAACTTTGTAAGTATTACAGCAATACATACTTCTTCTCCTTAGCAACATCTCCTAAATTATTTTCATTAACATCATGATAAAATCTGAACGTAACGGTCAGACCTGAAATCTGAGTTTCAAGAGGATTGTGGCTCTCTTGATATTGTTACTTGAAGATGTGTAAGACTTGGAAAAATGAATTACAGACAGTAATGGAAATACAGTTGTCTTGTTCAACAAAATGAATGATAATGAAGTCTGGGATAATTCAGAACTGCTATGCTAATTGTGACATTAAATGCAAAGCTGTTATTTTAACATTCCTGTAAGTGCTAGTTTAGTGTTTATGTACAGAATAAGTGATATAAGTGAGACTAATGTATAATAAATTGAGAGAATAATGTAAACCTCCCAGTTTTAGGGAAGCGGGGCTACTGATTTCATCCTTATGCTTCATTCAGAACAGAAAAACTGTCCATTAATCTCTCTAACCTAAAGAGATACAAAGGATACATAATGCAACAGGTCATGGTCAAGGGTGAAAAGTTATGCAGCATAAATCTATAAAAGACTTCCAGCCCAAATCTTTCATCTAGACAACTGTTAGATGACTGCTGTTCAATGCAAAGTATTATTAATGGGCTGACACTTGCACTTGCCAAGAAGCAGAGTGAGAGTGGATGTTTTAAAAATAATTAAACATGGGATTTTTCATTCTGGACACACTCAGCAGCACACATATTTACTTACAGTGGGCTAAAAAAGCTTCTACCTGCTCTAAATCATGAATAATGAATTGATTCTCTCTCTACCCATGCTATAAAAGAAGAACGAAGAGGTGGTTGTATATTAATATACGTAACCTTTATTTTTAGAGTGACTAAACACGTGTCAGGTTAAAGAAACTACCGAACTCCTGAATTACAACTTTAAAATGTTTTTCTTTTGCTTTTATAAAAAAACCACAGCAGAAATATGAATGTGTGTGTATATATATATACACACTATTATGTAGCTTAGGTATGTTAGATACTATAGTTGTAGTGCTACAAGGTATTTACATGTGAGAAAATCTGTAAAGCTACTATGAGTTTGGAGGCTCAACAGGATTTTACACTGATACTACAGTCATGCTTCATTAATTATGGGATTAAGAACATTTACTGAATCATTAAATCTTTAAAATTATGAAGTACTTGCAGACTATCTGTGCAGGAACAGAACAGCATCTCATAAAGGAACTTCCCAAAACATGTCAAAGGAGAAATATTAAAAGCCTCCATATATATTTTAAAAATGCAGGTTAACATAAAGTCGCATGCAATACTTAATGCAGAATGCAATGAAAAGGGTGCTGTTACCACCAAGGTTTTAGCTGCATCTGAAAGTGTCCATTACAATCATTTTGCATCAGACAGGCCATTGGCGTCTTGTTTATTCTCCTCTTACACCACCCGTGAAGCACCATGTGATTTCCTCATCTTTTCCTACAGTAATAGCTTATTCTTGAGTGGTGAAAGGACAAAAAGGGTTGTCATGTCCTTTCCGAAGTAGGCATTTAATTGACGTACTATGTCTGTAATACCAAATCACTTAAACTACAGAGTATTTTTTCCTCAAAAAGCACAATGCCAGTTTCAGTAACGTTCTAACTTGGGGACACATCCCTAGTACCTCTGTACTTTATGAATAGTTTCTTTCTCTGAGAAAGTGTCTTTCTCCGTATTTTACTGAAATACTCTAACTTAAAGCAGAAATTGCGTACCCAAGGCACCATTTGAAATCAGGAATGTGAACCAAATGTGTAGAAGGGAAGTTTTAGACTTTTATGGGTGTCCCTTTTCAAATTTTACAAGGCACATTTGGAATTCAGCTGCTACAGATCAGGTATCTCCCAGAAAAAAATAAAATATTTACTAACTCTCTATTCAAAGTTGACAACGACGTTTAGAGCAGTAGACTCGGTATTTAAAAGCATCAGAAAATTTGTTTGGAAGGAAATTAAAGATTATTCTAATGTGGGATTTGTAAATTTATTTTTTTTTAACAGTAATCATGTAGTTGAAGCTAACCCAAAATGCAGGGTTGTGGATATGGCATGTTAGGAAACCAGTAGTGATACCATTATGAAATACAGAAGAATGTATCAAAAGTAATAGACTGTGACCCAAAACGAAACTGTTCTCTCTCATGCCATCCAAACTCAGAAACACAAAACCTGAAGTAGAAACAGTAGAATGAAAATTAGGTGATGGAAATTTTCCATTGATGCTTGAAAATATTTGCTGTGTGTGTGGGAACGCATGTGTTTTATGAAAATTAGGATGTCCCTTTAAGCAATTTTATTTTATTCAACTTCTTCCAAAACATTGGGCCTTAGTAAAGGAGGTGCGCACTAACTTTCTGTCATCCTTCCTCCGCTCTAGCATTTTTAGCCTAACATACATCTTAAGCACTAGTCTTTCAGTTAGTGCTTCAGAGCAGTGTTTGAGCCTACAATACACAGGAATACCTGAAAGGGTTAAGATCCCGTTTCTTGAAACTCCATCTATTCCTAATGTGATCGAGCAACCCTCTGTAGTTCCTTTAAGTGGCAGCAAGACGGCATAGGATTTTCTCTTCCTTAAGCTGCTTTGAAAGCACTATCATGGACTGAAAAACTTGAAATAAAACAGGAGATGTGGCAGACCTGTGTCCTCAACTGACTGGAGACAGAAGCATCAGCTCTCTGCAGCGGTCTGCTGTTGATTTAGGATACTGCTATTTTCAATGCAGGAGTGAAGTGCTTTTGCTACATAGTGTGGGAGCACCTGCTTGTTGTTGTGAAGGACTTGGCCTGGCTTAAACTATGATGTAGTTTCAGGTCTCGCTCTAAGAAAGCAATCCTTTACACAGTGTCTAATAGAAGGACTGTAAGTGTAAAAGCAAAACAGTGTCACAGGGACATATAATACAATATAATCAAGCATATGTACCAAAGAGTAAATAATCAAGAACCTTCTTTCAAACCTCAGGCATGTGAATGGGCTGAGCTGTTGGAGACAAGAGCAAAGCTCTTGGTATCAGCTGCATCCAAGGAAATACTCACATCCTGCCTGTAAATCAGGAGAAAGCTGGACAGTAGAATGTGGGCTGGCATGTTCTTGTACAAGCAGTGTGCTTGAAGTTCTTTAGATAGGAATCAGGAGAGGTCATCTTTCCAGAGATTTACCTGTTTGGAGTAACAAAACCCAGCGAACACTAAAAATCACAGAATACACTTAAGTTATTTGGCTTTCCACACTGACCTCTCCAAGCAAAGTTGTTAAAACATAAATCTCTCCTGCTTGGCAATGGGGTTTGGCAAGGAGGTGGCTGTGGACCTTACTGGGCCCTGCGCGGTGCGCCCTGAGGGGTGGTTCTGTAGTCAGGCTTCAGCAAGGCATTGACATAATCGGTCAGCAGTGGTGGTGTTTGGGTTAAAACGTGACTGAATGGCTTGTTTTCTGTGAGGAATGAGGTTTGGTTAGGTTTGGTTTTTGGTTTGGTGTTTTTTTTTTTTTTTTTAAATGTTGTTTTTGAAGCTTTTCTTTGGGGAGACTGTTGAGATGGACCTGTTAGTACTTTTTTATTTTCAGTTCCTCCGTGATTTAGTATTACTGGTCCCCTACTATATTCTTCCATACAGAACTGAGAGATTGTGTATGACTGGAAAGAGGGATTGTAGCTTGTCACTCATGGAAGCCCCACGTTAAGCTCCTGGATCTTTTTGGTAGTATTAGAATTATGTAGAAGAGAATACAATTACAATATATAGAATTACTCGCCTTGTTTCAAACCGGGCAAGTGCTTCCCACCTGTGCGGCAGCCCTGCTTCACCTCGCTCTTGGGCCACCTCTCGTGATGAGCAAGGTGCTAAAATGGGACCTGCTGGCATCTGATGGGGACTGAGAGTGCTGTGGCTACACTAAGGTTTTAAGAAATCGGCTAATGGATGAAGATACTACAGATCTTTAATCTGTAGTCTAGAGAGAATGGGTTTAAAGCCCTTGTGAGCTCAGTGTATTCAGAGTTGCTGGTGTGCCCAAAGGTAACTGAAGAACAGCTCATGGGAAGGAAGGATTGAAGTCTGCAGGTTGGGGAGAAGGATTTGGGCAAGAACTGGTAGAGGTGGGGCCTCCTTGCATGAGGGAGAGGTGGAGGGCCATAGAAGATGGTCCGATGAAGTGTAAGTGACCTTGCTCCTGTGGGAAGGGGCAGCAACCATGGTAAGCAATGCTTCCTGAAGACCCTTGTCAGTTGCTTGGTGGTCCCCTTCCAGCTGCTTTCAGCATTGCCTTATAGTTGTCCGTCATGTTTCCTTCCAGCAGGAATTAAAATCTCTCTTTCATCCCTAGGCAAAGACAGTTGCCAGACTCCCCACCAGACTCTGGATCGGAACCATGTTCTCCACCACAGCTTCAGAGTAGGTCACATGAATTCGGTCTCCCAAGCTCGTAAGAAGGTCTCTGGCTCCTCTTCCTTGTCCTTACTTTCTTTTCTGTTTACTTCTTGCAGCCCCACGGTATGACCCTACATGGCCCAGTGGGCTGCAGCCTCCACTCCCATGCCCATCTGCTGTGGCACCCAGCAAGCTTCCCTGCAGGTTCATGGAGACTTACTCTGACCCCAATGCCAGTGGGCATCTCTGCACCATCCCCCAGGGCTGCTGCCTGAAAACAGAAAGTGCTGTGACTCCTTGGAATAATTCTGCATCCTCCAGCTGTTTGGGTTTTAATTATTCATACTTTCAGCCAAATGCATCTCAGATTTCTGGGTAAATGATAAAGGTTTTATGCAATGGGTGAGACAGATACAAAAAAAAAGTAGAGCTGGTAGAAGACAACGGTTTAAAACTGGTGTAGAATCCCTGTGGGTGTAGCATTTTCCACAGGAGGGCAGTGTTTAGACATTTTTGAGACACCTGTGGTTGAGTGTTTAACTATCTTGACGTTCAGATTGGAAGTAGGAATGGATTTAAATTTTGAAAATGTTACAAGGCTAAAGGGAGATCAACAGGTGCATCATAACTGGATTATTCAGGGATTTTGCAATACCTATTGCAGGGATTTGTCCATAAGGATCTGACAAGTAGCATGAGACAAAAAAAAATAGTCGTATCTATGTAAGCAAGTGAAATGGTATTCATATAACATCTGCCATATTCACCCACTAGCATGTTGTGGATGCATAATTATTTAAAATACACTCAGTAGTGCAAGCATCCAACCATGATACCTATTAAGAATGAATTGACTGATGCATGCCAGAGGGGGACCTCTCTGGTTGTTGGCAGAGAAATGTGAGTTCACCAGTGGTAGTCATGGGCTTGCACATGTTCTGTCCCTGTCTCCTCTTCTGTACAGAGCTCAATTATGTGTGAGATGTTTTCTCAGTGGAGTCGTTTGTGTTCTTTGTTTTCCAGTGGAAGGTGCCAGTTAGTCAAAATCATATTTTTTTTTTTGAGGGAATACTTTGGTTATTGGAACTTAAGATACAAAATAGTTCTTGACCAAACATGGAACTTTTGGACAAACCCAGAAAAAGAATAGCAATGTGGTGTGTAGGCTTTTTTCTGCTCGTGTCTGCACCTTAGTTTGAGTACCTACTGGGCCTGACTGAGACATGGAGTTTGGCATGTTTTTTCCCCCCGCCCAGAAGGAGTGACCATCTGTCAGGATATTCTAGTTTACATTTTATAATATCAAAATTTTGGAATAAGGTTCTTTTCCTTTGCAGAATGGAGCGTTTTTTGAAATGTCACTTTCTGGAAAAAGGGAAAGCTGTTACTCAGCAGTTGCCCCTTGAGATTTCTTCATTAATGCATTAGTTTAACTGCTTCTAGTGTTTTCTGTATAAGAAGGAAAGTGAGTTCATGCTTGGTGCAGCACAACTATTCAAGATAAAGCTGTGATTTTAATGCAAATGTCAGGAAACGGTAAAACCCTGCTGCTTACGCATTGTGTAAATTTTTATAAAGAGATCAACTTCTCTATTCATATGAAGTAAAAAAATAAACTAATTTGTATTTTTGAAGAAAAAATTGCATAATTCAGCTTTAAAAAACCAACAACAATCACCTCCTGGCAAATCAGAATTTGGGTGATAATACAGTTAGAATGAGATACGTGGGTGTTCTCATGTTGCAAATCTGCAATATCTGTATTTGAACTTACAAATGAGTAACATAATGTGTGTTTTTGAAAAAGTATTTCTGCAGCATCAGGCAAAAAAAGGAAGCTCTCACAATTACTGGGAGATGCCACTGATTCTCCAGTCCGGTCTCAGGACTCCAGACAAGGTAATCAACTGCGTGAAGATGAAATTTAATGTTTTGTGCCGTAGACAAGTAAAGAGCACAGCTCCTTCTGGCTCTGAAAAGGTAGTGATATTAGCTGTCTGTACTCCACTATCAGGGTTTGGAGGAATTTACCTTTTCAGTGTTTTTGAAAAGCAAGACCTCTTTTTATTTGGTGAAGAGAGAAGAAGCATTAGAGGTTTGTGTTTCATGAGAACTCTCTGGACAAAATATTCTGCCCTTCTCCGTGTGTGAGCCTGCAGTATACAGATGATACTATACTCTGCTGACTTTGCTTGGTGCTAAATTGACTGGGCAAAGAAACCATCTTGGGTCAGCTTAACAGGGAATTAATGTGATGGATGAACAAACAGATTGCAATTTCCCTTTATCATCTCAACTCCATATTTCTGCAAAGTGTAGCCATGCGCAAGCTTGGTAAAAGCTCATGTTCTTCCTCACGCCTTCCCCAAATTAATTTGATTTGTTGTTTTATCAAGATAAAAATGCTAAGCTTATACCAGTTGATACAAAAAAGCTTATCAGGCATGTACAGAAATGGATCAGCTTCTGTGAAGTGTGAGGCTCTCTGTGAATGAACAGTTTGTAATGAACAGTTTATCTGAGGAATTTCACCCTTGTCTGTAAGTGGAAGATCTGGAAGTTGCATGTTACTTCTTCAAAGTAAGTTATTTTTCAGCATTAAATCCATCTTTTAGAACACTTTTAATGAGTAGCAACTGGATTTAGTAGGTTACTTTTCTTTTGGTGTCTTTTATTTGATCAGTGTTGCTTGATTGTGAATAGTCCTCTAAGTCTGCCACTGCTGGAAAGACAGGATGAACAGATGCTTCTGTATCTAAAATTGCTATTACTGTTTTTAATATGTAAAGACATGGCTTTAAAATATGCTTTCCTTGGGAGTCACTGTTAATAAAAATGCACTGGCACACGTGCTATTGGAAAAAGAGCACGGCCATTTGTTGAAATGACATGGGCATCATTTAAAAATGAGATGCGAATTTCTTTACTGTGGGTTTTTTTTTGTTGTTTGTTTTTTTTTTTTTTTGTTTTGTTTTTTTTTTTAATATTTTCACTCTGTTTATGTCAGATGTGGGGAATTGCAAATGAAGTTTGGGCCTGAAGTGATTCTGTTGGCTCTGTCTTACTGTGCTGCCACTGGCTGCACATGGATCTTAGCTTATATGCTCAATGACATATTTTCTCCTGCCCTTACTGTGTTTTGTTTACCTGTCTCTCTTATGACATTCTCCTCCATCTTCATAAAATGTATAATATCTCAGAAAGCATTAACCAGTCAAACAGATGTAGTGATAAGTGTGCTTGCTGTTGGAAAACTATGCGTCCTGCTCTGGAACAAAGTACCTGTTGCAGTGAGTTGGAGTATATTCAGTTTAAACCTGTAGTAGAGAGAATGGGAAACGTATCTAATTATTTTGCTTAATTGCTTCTTGCAGTATTGCAGGTTTACAATAAAATACGTAGATTTCCTTTTTTTTTTTTTTTAACTTTTTCTCCCCAAAGGAAACTATCCATCCTTTTGGGGAGGATAAAAATAGGAAGTGCAACTTGTGTAATAGTTTGCAAATCAGAAAAGCTGAAAAATTTATTTTCTAGGGCAGGGGAGTATAACGCAATCTTCAGGAATAACTGCAAAAGACAATCAGATTTAAATATATGTGCCATATATTTGTGCTTTATTTGTATGTATATATATGTAAATATATTTATAAAAATGTTTATGCAGGATTTTTGGCTAGTGGCAAAAGTTACAACTGAATTGTCACTATCTTTCCACAGCAACTGTTAAGGACTGTGCAGCTGAAGTGCAAGAATATGACAGTGATGGACAGAATGCAGCTTTGGAAAAATGCTGTCAAGCTCTAACATGGCAACCATATCAAACTTCTCAGTGGAACAGCTTATTTAACTCTAATTATGAAAAACTGTAAGTGCTGGTGTTTGCACTTGGAAAAAATGGTTGCTTGGTTTTTTTTTTTTTTTTTTTTTTTTTTCTCCTGGTATTTTAGTTTTGTAGAAATAAATGATACTTCTGGCATCCCTTGTTCTTACTGAAAATAAGACTGGAGAAGGAGGTATAGCAGGCATGATGGAATATGAATCTGCAGATGTATCAGATAAGCAGGACTTTAAACACTAGTTGAAATTCATGCCAGTTTTTCTGATTTCTGCTCAGGGATTTAGGGGCAAAATCAAAATGAGTTTAACTTAAAATACCTGTTAATTTTTTTATCTTTTGTCAAGCACATTGGGGCAATTAATTACTGAGCATATGACACCTTTCACTATAATGGCCTAAAACATTAAAGAAAAATGGAGATAGGAGATACCTGTAGTACTTCTGGGCTCATATAACCTAAGTCTTAATAGCTATAGACATATATATATATGGCGCACAACTGTGTAGTCAAAGATTTAGAGTTTTCCTGTATAAATCAGAACTGTAAATAATTTTTTTGCCGCATGATCTGGCAAAGGTCATTCCAAGTTCACTTTACATCCCAGGTTTTCTCCATTCTAGTGTTTAGTGAATGATCCCTTTTAACAAAAGCCCTTCTACCGTGTCCATTTATTCCCCAGGATTGGTGCAAACTGTCACTGTCTCCATGGGACTTAAATAGCATAGTAAATTTCAATTTTCCTCTAGTCCAACTTGATGAAAGCACTCGTGGGAGTTCGGAGTGTATCAGTGTCATTGTTGGACACTGATGTTTGTGTACAGCCTGATAGGGGCAATACACATCTTACTGTGTCCCACACAACCCTTCTGAGGTAGTGACATGACAAGAGACAGCTCAGTGTCTACACATTTCTACTCACTGTGAACTGGATGGGCCAAGGAAGCTCCAGCAGTGTTTGTGATGTGAATTGTCACTCTAGGTAGAAGTGGCTTCCAACTCCTGTTACGCTTTCAGTCCACAACTACTTGAGAGAGCTGTGAGCAGATGGTGGGAGAGCAATCTAATTACTACTTAATTACTTTCTGGTTCCCATACACTTAAAATTGAAGTTCCAGACTCAAACTTCTTGGTGGATTGTATCAACATAGGCAATGTGATGCTGAGAATTAAAGCATCCAAATACATGTACTCTTGCCATTACTGTGGAAGGAGATTGAGCTATTATTTGCAGAGGAAGTCAGTGTTGCTTTTAAGTGAGCTCAATGGCAGTGCCTGTGTTCCAAGATGCACTGTAACTATGGCACAGTGCACAGATTTTGAGTAGTGATCCTGTATTCTGTTAGCCTCAAAAGGGTGATGTGCTTATCACTGGTCAACGTAGATGGATTGGTCCTGTACCTAGAAATTGCTGTGCCCACTTTAAGGGCATTTCTCAGGTTAATTACTGTTTTCCATTTTATTCATCCAGTATTTTAACCTTGTGATTATTTCATTTTCGCAACAAAATGCTGTAGGCTGAGGTAGATTCATTAGAAAAAGTTACCATTAATTATGCCCTGCATTCTGTCTGCTTGGCACTTTCCTAGCCCCTTGTCCCCCTACAGTTGTGATTGGTGGGACTCTGTTCTGAAGATGTTGTCTGAAGACTCAAATTCTGAATAGAAAGAGGAATTCAAAGTGTATTTCTAGTAGAGGTGCTTGTGTGACAGAGGTATCCCTCACTACCTAATTGTTCTTCCAAGTTTTACTGTACTGCTTGGTAAGACTGAGCATTCTTTGTGTGATCAGATCAAAATTAGTATTTGCTCTTAATTACTGTAAGTGGCAAACTCAGAAAATTATAAACATGAAATTCCTTTTTGGGAGTCATTGTCCCAAGTAATTCAGTGTGGAGAAATGGAAATTTATACTTTTGCTGCTCAATCAGCTTGTCTGCATGTAAACAAATACTCTGAAATTGCTTTAAGAATATCAGCTAATGAGCTTTCTTCATACCTAAATCTGAAAAACAACTCTTTTCCCTACTATGGAGTAGAGACATTTCCTACATAAATAAAAAGAAGTATCAGCTGTAGGAAGAAACTGAAGAAATTTTGCTTCATTAAGAATGATGGTTTAAGGAGATGGTAGACACTTCGTTATAATATTAAATATGAATTAACATATGATTTAGTAGTTTTGAAGTAGTTACAAAGTAGTTTTCTCCTTATTCCCTGTCCCAGGTAATCAGTGATTGTTTGAAAGGGGCCTTTTGTTCATAATTTATAAAAACCTAATAAAGTCTGTATGTTTCTTGTAAATTCTGTACTTTTTTATTTTTCCAACTAATAATGTGGAAATGAATGGATGAATTCTAAAAAGCCATCTTCAGTAACTGTGTTAATGAGAAGTTCTCAGTAGCATCAGACAAGATCATCATTATCAAACTTCCATTAGCAAGAAAAGCCAAAGCCCATTTAAGATAACCTTGCTATGTAGTCCTGTTATTTCAGAATTATCCATCACTTAAATGAGAGGACTAGAAACATTGTTGAGATGATGAGTTCACTGGCTCTTCAGAAAGATCTTTTGATACCTGTCCTTGTTTGCTGTGAATCATAAGGGCAGAATACTCTTTCTCTTTGGGTGACAAATTAGCCCCTTGAATAAATAGACTAGGGTGTCCTATAGGATGGGGTAGGATGGACAACATTATAAAGGAGAATTTTGTAGTCATCTGGCCCCGGGGTCAGTACTGATAGCTTTTCTCCTATCTTGAGTAAAGCCTTATTGGAATCCCAGCAGTTTCTGCAAAAGCACTTGATGTGGGAATTCAGGAACAAACTAGGGACTCTTGCTGGCTCATTAGCACGTTGTTGTCTGCAGCACTCATTCAGCTCTGGTTTTTATAGCAATGTTATAATGAATGCTTGAATACTCTAAAAGGTTTGGTTGTGCTTTTAGGTGCACAGAGTTCCTTTATACCAGATTTGTAAGTGAAGATTATGTAAGCCTCTCCACCTCTGGTTTCCAAACGTTTAATGTGTCAGACTCGAATTAGAGTACATTTTATATGCATTTTCATTTTTACACCTCTGAGAGGCTAAGAAGAAAATACTCGTAGAGCTGGTGAGTGTAAAGATGTATTTCAGCTCCCATTTTGTCAGTAAAAATCAGATGGATTTTAAGATCATATAAAAAATAGGAACTCAAGATGTCCTTCAAATATGCCTGTACTTAAAGTTGCTATACTTCCTTCTTGTTTTTGCAGACCTGCTATTGGATATCACATTGTCACAGATAAAGGATTTAATTTTTCAACAACAGATGATGCCTTTGTGTGCCAGAAGAAGAATCATTTCCAAATCACAGTTCATATTAGAATGACTGGACATCCAAAATATGTCAAAACTCAGCTGGGGGGGAAACCAATAGAAAAGTTTTACTTGAAAATTTTTGGAATAAAGGCAAGTATTTCTCCTTTTGGTGATTATTACTTTTATAAGTTAGTATGTGATTATCCATAAAATGAGGTAAATAATTGAAACAAACTATCTTCTTTGTAATTTCTGACAAACTGACAGAGGAGAACTCTTTTAAGTTACTAGTGGCTTCTGTATGGAACTCTTTGCAAAAAAAAAGCGATGTTTTATGGATGCTTGTGCTGCTATATGCTGAAAGACATCATGTTTGCCTGTTTGCCATGGTTTCACTGACTTCCCTCTCTTTGGCTGAAATTTTGTTCCCTCTATGGGGAGTTTAAGGGCATCAGCTGGTGTGTAAGTGGCCAGTCTACCCATTAGTCAAAAAGACATGTTTATAAAAACCAGTTCAGAAGGCAAAGAAAAAGAATGAAATCTGTTTTTCCTGAACAGTTTATGTGAAGAAAACCAACAAAATTTCCCCATTTCTTCTTGCCTGTCTTTCCATTTTCATTTTAAAAACCAAATTCTTCCCAGCCAGTAAAGGTCCAGAAGCTTGCATATACAGAAGCAGTAAGAGAAACTGTAATCTTTTTGAAAGATTTTATGAGTTTTTTTACTTACTACCAAAATTCAGTGATTTAAAAAATCCATGTAGCTGTTTTACAAGGCAGTTGCTACCAGATTTGCTTAATGCGTTCTAATGCAGAAGCAATTAGCGAATATTACTGTCATCTGTTCCCATCTGAAGCAAAGTGCTGCTTGGTACCATTACAGAAAGGTACAGAAATTTACATTAAAATAACTTCTGGAACTACCTTGCATAAGTTCAGTTCTCATGTTAAATATCTACATTTATGCTTTGGGATAGAATGAGGCAACAACAGTCTAGATTCAGAAAGCAATTTTTCTTTTTCAAATTGATGCATGACTTTTTTTTTTTTTTTTTTTTTCCCCCACGAAGTTTTGGGTCTTGGGTCTTCAGACTAGCTGTCAGGTGTCAATTGATCAGGAGTCAGTTCCTGTGTTAATTTCTATGTAGTTCCATGAGAAATGAGAGATATTTCACTTTTTAAAACACAATTTACCTATTATTTTCTATTTAAAATTGTATGTTTGAAAATGTAATATTCGTGACATTTTTGAAAGTTCTTTTTTCTTTGTAGGTGGAAGCTCCAAATCAAACAGTTGCTATTGAACAGTCTCAGTCAGATCGAAGCAAAAAAACTTTCCATCCTGTTAAGTAAGGATTTTGAGAAATTATTCAATTTTATTTCAGTACGTGATTGAACTGAAATGTGAAGTAGTTGTTTCCTGGAACCACAGTAGCTCTAAGCCAGTTTTCTGATCTTTATCCAAATTCCATTCTGGGTGTGCACATAGAATCATAGTAGTACCTGGTCTCCCTTCATGAAGGAAAATTTTCAGCAGCTTTACAAATGTGTTAAGTATGCCTATCCAAAATATTTATATTTACCTAGCAACACTGCTGTATGGTGTTTAGAGCTGTATGGCAGATGCATTTCCCATCTTAAAAAATGTCAGTAAAGTTTCTGTTCTACATGAGCATGAGATGTATTTTCAGTGCTTTTAAGGGGGAGTGCCTCTGCTAGGAACTTAAGTGCGGCTTCCTTGGAATTCTGCCGTTCTTCTGCATCTTAACTCACTGGCAGAATCAATGTTTGTTCTTCTGGCAAACATGTCTCCTGTTGGAGCTGTTCTGTTCTCTATAAATAATTAAATGAGCCTTAAAACAGAAAAAGATAAGACAGTGTCAAGTTTGACAAGTGCTGGGATAAAGACTGCAATATATAATCTACAAAAATGAACTCTGATCTTGGGAGAAGAGCTAATTTTTCACTAAATTATCTCTATCATGGCATTTTTCTTCATTTTGCATACTGACAAATAGATTCTGTGTGTGTGTAAATTGTTTCATGGGTGACCATTCAATGGACTGTGGTTTTCTCCCTGCAAACTATTTATTCATATTATTTATCACTTGCAGGAGCATTCACACTATGTATTTGAGACATAGGTGTATATTTTATACTTCCAGACACACAAATTAGGTGCAGGTGAAAAAAAGAACAAGTAAAATTTATTTATTTTAATGTGGAAATTCAGATCCAGTAATAAGCAATGTTAACTTTGGCAAGCAACAAATACACATCATATGGAACATATACGGTTTTATTATGTTGAAGACTGTGTACAAACAGACCAAGAAACACAAGACTATTACTAAGAACAGTTTCCCACTGCTGGTGCTATATCCTGTTTATCTCCTTGACACAGTCCCTGTGTTTTTAATGCATTTTTATAAAGCAGGGTTACTGCATTTTTACTGGGATTCCTCTGCTTTTTTTCATTTGCTAGTTTTTCTTGAAACTGTTTTAATGAGTTTGAGGAAATCTGACTTAAGCCAGGTAGATCTCCAAATGCTTATTTCCCTGATCTTGTTTCCTTTTCTGTTTTAGAGTTGATCTGCCAGGGGACCAGATAACTAAAGTAACGCTGGGAAGGTTGCATTTCAGTGAAACAACAGCAAATAATATGAGAAAAAAGGGGAAACCTAATCCTGACCAGAGGTATTTCTGTAGCTAGTTGGCCTCTGTGTGTGAAGTGGACAAGAGGTCTACTTTAGAATGTCACTGATGTTTTTGAAAAATCTCAGTGTTACCAAATCTGAGATTTTATTTCAAATTCTGTGATATTTGGTATCTGCTTAAAGGCCTCTCTTCTAGAGTCACAGAATGATAAGAGAATAAAAGAAAGTATCTTATCCTCATGGTTAGAGATTGTTTCAGGAAATCATAGCCAGAATGATGGCTGATGAAATCAGGAAGCCAAAAAAACAGATAATAATTTTCTTCTGGGGAATGAAGGGTCTTCACTTTTGAGTCTTCATTTCTTAAATTTGTCAAAATTATTGTAATCTTTGATCATTTTCAGTGATTGTGGGGATTGAAATAGCATATTACTTGAGAGCGAAGGTAATAATTTTTCTTTCATATTGTAACATAAATACATTTAGAAAATGTTCTGGCTATCTTTTTATGTATCAGTAATAGCAGCTGTATTTAAAACTTTTTATTTTTTTCTGTGAGAAGACATTACTTCAATGATTGTCTTGATTAAATCAATTTCAAATTAGATACTTCATGCTGGCAGTTGGACTGTATGCTGTCTCTCAGGACCAATTCTACCTACTGTCTGCAAATGTCTCTGAAAAGATCATTGTGAGGGTAGGTAAAAATTTATATTGCTTTCATGTGAAAAGTTTTTACTGTTTTGATATTCACAGGAGATTATGGGGGGTGATTCTTGGGCATAAAAATTACCACTGACTCAAGAATATTGAAGAAAAAAATGTACAGTTGCATACTGTATGAGTATGTTGTCACCTTTTAATTATTGGGATTTTAAAACATTAAAAGTAGTGCTGTAGAAGAATTTAAAAAGAAGCTTGTTGTGAATTCCAATACAAAATATGTTGATTTTTCCAGATTGTTTATTCTTTGAAGTAAAACAATTTCCTGCACTTGCCAGGAATTTGGTAAATGCTTTCATTGGCTAGATGCTTCATTTTCAAAGGAGGATGAGAAGGGAAAAAAATACAAGGAAAGAAGATCAAGCAGCTCTAGGAAGATTGAGACCCATAGCTGCCCCTTTCCAGTGTGTTTCCAGGGTGTGTCAGCTCTTAATTTGTTGGTTGTAATATAGGTTTCAAAATAGAAAAGGGAAGAATTGGTCTCTCTTCCTGATGACCATGACTTTTCAGTCCCCTGATCCACATAAAGTTTTCCTTTGAATACTCAGTTTTAGCCTACAGTTAAGGTTAGGCTTGGAAGAGGGAAGAAACCCAGAGCTCTGTTGTAACAGGAGCTATGGAGGGTTAGGGTTAGGAGAGAGAGAAGGTACAGAGCCCCAGCATGAGTGAGGTTGCAAGGGAACTGCCAAGGGAAGGTGGAGACTACCAGAAGCTTTCAGTCCTGGCCCCTTTTTCATGCGACTAACAGCTGGTGGTTAATGTTTGAACTGGGCATAGTCTAGTTATGGTTATTTCTAAGGTGAAAATTATGTTTAGGGCTTAGAAAGATAGGAAATGCATAGGTGCGATGGTGGGGCTGTGGAGGATGGTGAGGGCCTTCAGAAGGTTGCAGTTCAGTGAACTTTTTTGTGAGGGCCAATCAAGGATCTGCTTCTTGTTTGCTGGGAGTCTTTTTAGTCCTTGGCTTATGGTGAGGAATAGGCTTAGCATTTTGTTTTAAAGTCAAATAAGACCAAGAGCTCTAGTGTACTAAGTGGGGCTCGGAAGGGGCTCCTAAAGAAAGGTGAGGGCTGTCAAAAGCTTTTAGTCCTGGCATCATTTTTTGTAGGCCATTGCTTGGGTCCTTTTTGGTGGCACATCGTCTGCCTCAGTTTATGATTACAGTCTGGTTTTGCATTTGGGCTTGGAGAGAGCAAAAGTGCAAATCCCCAGTATGTGTGGTGTTGCACAGGGGTTTCCAAAGTAATTTGAGGGCTTTCAGATGGCTTCAGTCCTGTCTCCTTTTTCATCTGGGCCATAACTTTGCGTCCTCTTGTGCCATAAACCCTCTTCCTGCAGTTACGGCTAGGTTTTTGGAGGGCGATATGGCTGAGAGCTCCTTTTTGGGTACAGCTGGAAAAGGGCTTTGGAAGCAGTGTTTGGAGCTCAGTAGTTTTCTGCCCTGTTGAGAAGTTTTATCATCTTGGCCGTTGCTGTGGGTTCTTTTATTCCAGGACACCGAAGCATGGTGTTTGTATCATTCCTGCATATTTAGTTCTTTTCCTTTTCTGTCCATTTCCACAATACTGCTTTCGTCTGAATTTCTCTTTCTGCATCTAGCAGTGTTACAAATATAATCTCTTTACTAATTTGAGTAAGCTGCTGAATTTTCATGTTTGACTCATCCTTGGGATTCTTGTTACCTTATAAGATATATATTTTTATGTAACATTTAGAAATTTACATTTTTCTACCATTTCTAATGTAGGTTCTTTTGAAATTTCAATGAGGAGAGCTCCTTTGATATGTGTGAGACAGCTTTTTAATAGGAATCCAGGGAATGAGATTTTGCAAACCTGGCCACTATTCCAGACAAAGAAAAGAGAAGGCAGAAAAGCAGAAGGATCAAGAGGCTGTGATTTGAAGTGGTGAAAATATCAACAGGAAAGATGTAAAGAAAAAAAAAAAAAAGTCATTTTCCAGATGTCTGACAGGGCTTCAGTGGCAGGGTACAGTGAGCCAGCCACTGGCTACCTTAAAGTGGCAAAGCTGTGCAAATGCGCTGCAGGAGAAAGCAACTCATGTTCTGGCCCTTTATACACTCAACAAAACTACCAGCTGAGTAGCGGTTATCAGGCATATCAGATCATGCTCTAATTGTGGCAAACAGGGATAAGTGCAGAGCGCCATGTCTTGTAGATGGCAAAGCCTTGTGAAAGCCAGGCTTCTTTAACTGAGTGTGAACTTTTTATTGTGATCATACTTTTGCTCACACTCTGTTTTTAAAGATTGAATTCAAAGTTTAAAAAAAACATTAGCAAAGTTAGTTGTTGAAATCAATTGCCTTTTCTAATTATACACACTCAGTTGTTTTGTTGGTGCTCTTTGAAAGACCCTGTTTCCTTGACATGAAATCTCTAATGAGTGAATTTAAAACATTACAGAAGATTTTGTGGGCTACATGTGTTTAATCTCTGCCTTGTTTGCTCTTTTCTGATTTCCAGCCTCAGCTAAAATTTATTGGTGAATAAAGAATGATTATGTGGCATAATATCAAAGTTAAAATTTGGAAAGCTTTGGACATTGACAATTTAGCTTAAGGTGATAATAAATAGGTTTCAAGAGAAAAAAAAATGAGGCCAATGCTGTGTGAGCAAAACCACTTAGAAATGACTCCACCTGTTTTTTTTGTTGTTGATGATGTGTTAGAAAAGCTCTTGAATACAATCTAAATATTAAAGATTCGGCATTTCATTTTCCCTGAATTTCTAATGGAATAAGCGATATATCTGTGCTATACTATATCTTTAAACATATTTTTTTCTTCCAGGCATCTAACCCAGGGCAGTTTGAGAATGACAGTGATGTACTGTGGCAGCGAGGACATGTTCCAGAGACGATAGTCTATCATGGTCGAGTAGGAATTAACACAGATGCACCAGACGAAGCACTGGTTGTCTGTGGAAATGCAAAAGTTATGGGCAGAGTCATGCATCCATCTGACAGCCGAGCAAAACAGAATATCCGGGAGGTGAGGGCTGTGGAGTATTTAGGGCATTTACGTTTGCACCACAGCACATGTGTGGATCATTGTTCTGACACGTAAAGCTGCTTCTTTATCCTGGCTGTGCTGAAATGCTGGCCTAAAGAAACCAGATGTACCACTGCGCTCTGTAGAACCATTGCCTATGGACTTTGGAAGAGGCTGTCTGTAGAAGCTGGGATATCTATGTAAATGGGAGTTGTCAGGCTGAAGGGTAACTGGAAATACAAATACAAATAGCACTCTGCTGATGGGGAGTGGGAAGATTGTCCACATTTTTCAATGTGAAGATTGGCCAAGTGGCCGTGTCAGGTTTGTTGCTATCTAGGTGATGTCCCAGATGCCGTGACATTCCTAGTGAATCTTGGTATTTGTCCAACTAGGTTGATACAAATGAGCAGTTGAGAAGAATTACACAAATGAGGCTGGTGGAGTATGACTACAAACCCGAATTTGCATCTGTTATGGGAATAAAAAACACCCATGAAACAGGTATTCAGCCAGCTCTGTTCCCATTTTCATTAACTTCCATTGTTGTTCATTGTGCCCTAGTGCCTTTTAACACCCTGATATTTCATCTCCATTTCTTAGGATACTACAATTGCATGCTTTGTTGTTTATCTCTTGGAATATAAAATTGTCAAAATTAAGTATTTCTGGTAATTTTCCAAGTTCTGTCTCAATATTTAAAGATAGGAGGTTATTTTTCCAGAGATTTAATGAGAATGAAGTACGTGATCACAAACAATTTTGTTCTTATTGCAGAGAAATGGAAATTCTAAAGGTTTCTGTTTGTTTTCTGTGATATGGAAAAAAAAAGTGAAATCTTAGGTTTTCCTACCGTAGAGAAATTCTAGATTGTGTTTGGCCCTACCTGGAGCTTTTAGGATGGGCAACTCAAAGCACACAGCCATGGTCAATGATATGCCACTGTGTTTCCTGACTTTAGTTTCTGTTATCTTGTGAACAGGAATAATAGCCCAGGAAGTGAAGGAGCTTTTACCTCAAGCTGTTAGAGAAGTTGGAGATGTTGCTTGTAATGGTGGAGAAAAAATAGAAAACTTCCTCATGGTTGACAAGGTATGGTCTTAAGAGAGAAAATGGAGGTGTGTATTTAGACTGTTCTTTTTGTATATGGATCCATAAAACCACACCATCCTTTATATAAAGCTGTAGGCCTCCACATGTACTTACAAAAAGTGGCAAATCACTGAGAAATTATGAAGCACCAGGTGTTAGTAAATGGCTGAATCTTCTAATGACAAAAAGTATTTACATTAAAATCTCATTATAATAATAAATAAATATACAGTAAAAAAGGCAAAAAACTAACTTTGCTGAATAAAGGTGGATAGTGATTTCATAGCACTGGTCCAACAAGTGGGACTCCAAAACATTCTTTTGTGTTTACATTAATTAAGTGTTCCAGAAGTGAATTAAGCAATGATGGCATTCTGTTTGTTAAATAAGAACTTCCTTACTCTAATCCTGACGTAATCACTTCATACCAAATACAAATCCTAGCTCTTTGTGCTCTGTGAGAAGGGTTTTTTGGCCATCTGAAATTCTTATTACAGCTTCAAAATCATATATTACGAAATACTTGTGACACACAAAGTAATTACCATGCTCACAGGTTGGAAATAATGCCTTAGTCTTTTGTCCTGTTTACTTCCCCTCCTTTTCCTGCAGAAATAGGACTGGAAGGGGCTGTCAGTCACAGAGTCCAGTCACACATGACTTGTCCTGAACATTGCTCAGAGCAGCCCCTCTGTTGTGCGCTGGTTCACTGCAGGTCAAGGACCACTTCCCAGCTTTTTCCCACTTACAGCTGATAATGGGAAGAATCTTGTCTGGATGATGTCATGAACATGATCCTATATTCATTATAATCATGCATTCTTTCATTATTCTATAGAAAACATAAGTTTACACCACCAGACTTGGAGAAAATGTCTATAAAGAATACTGCATTTCACTTGTCTTCTTTTGACTGGCTACAAATAAGTTAATTTCATAGGTTAAATCTGCTAGGCTGTATTCTATATAAAGGAATCATGAATTAGACACTTTGGATAAACCTGTGGAAAGAGCACTTTCTAGAGATACTGTTGAAAAGGAGACTGTTAGAAAATTTGCTGTGTTTGGTCAGGGTTCCAGCCTGTAGCTGATTTCTAGATGCGCATAGAAGATCAGTGGTGTTAGTGACACTAGGCTCTTTTTGCTCTTGAGCCTTTCCTGTTACATTGTCTGACAGCTGCAACATCATTTGCATTTTTTGAATCCCCCCTCCCCCCTCAAACTGCCTGGGGTAGTCAGTTTTTTTCTGACAAAACCTCTAGGTTGGACAATTGAGCTTCTGATTTATATCTCTATTTGCTGAAATATCACACAAAATACCATCTGCAACAGTGCCTGACAGTACTGCTGTTTGGGCCCATTGTGTTCCCTTTCTCTTCTGTAGCTTGGATCTCTGGACAGTGCTTGCCAGGATGTTTTCCAGGGATGTGAACTAGCAAATGGAGAAAGCCTGCTGCATCCTGCAGGTCGTGGTTCGGCTGTGGATGTGGCCCAAGCAGGAATGAGTTGTTATAGCAGTGGCTTATTTGCTTCTTAGCATTTTCTTGACTACTTAACTAGGTTTGGGATCACTTCACAAAACATTTTGACATTGTTTTACTACAGTGAGGTAAATCTGTGCTTTCTCCTCTTTCTCCTAACACCTGTGGCAAAGCATGTGAATGTGAAATCTGTGACCTTTGGGGTGACAGGGCCAATAGCTCAGCACCTTGAGCTGGAAATGGACAGTGCTTCATATTTTTGCGGTTAGTTAGACAGGTGATGAGGCCTTGAACTTTGTTTTCTCACATTCCAAATTTAGTTCCAGATAAGAAGGATATTGGCTGATTTGGTTGTGTCTCTTTGTCAGTTACCTGTTTTGGAGCTGTCAAACTCTGTAAAATTAATCAATTCCATTACACATTCAAGCCAGGATTTGCTATTTTCTCAACTGTGTGGAAATTTGCTATTTTGGGACAAGAATCTTTCTTCTCTTCTTAATTGCACCGTGCTTACTACTCCTTCATCAGCGAGGCAGTTAAACTCCATTTTCCCCAAAGAAAGTATTCCTTCACTGTGCCAGATGAACCATTTTCTCAGCTAGTTGAAGTCACCTAGAAGAGGTTCATGCATGATTTGAAGAGAATGGAAAGGGCAGCTGCTACATATCATTGGTATGAGGACAAGTGACCGTATAAATGATTTCACAGTTCCAGACACAGGAGGTTATTTTGAAGTCACTTTTTAGTTAAACAGACTGCTGGTCTTCTGGCAGTACAGAAGTTTGCAACTCATCAGTGATACCTGTGCTCCGGTTCTGTTTATACAAAATACTGTCTGTTTCTGTAGAATGCAGTCACCTGTAAAAGAAAGGTGTGTGGCATTTACAACATGAAAGGCAAAACTCTGCTTTTGCCTTACTTCTGCATGACTTGACTAGACTGGAACACTTAGCAATATTAACTGCAGTAATAGCTTCATCCAAAGTTTAATGGCATCAGTCTGATCGTACATTAGTATAAGAAAGTAGTTCTTTCAAACACAGCAAAGAAAGCTTGCAGTTACCATGCTCCTTCAGTGGATCAGTAACCATTTTTGGCTCAGAAGTGGATAAAATACTTACTACCTTCAGAAGTGGATGAAATTCTTATTACCTGGATGGTTGTATTGAGGGCTTCTCCAGCAGCAGATTGATACCTAGATGATAAGCAGGGGCTAGAATAATAGGAGGCTTTTCCTGGGTAAAATATTCAGAGGGAGTAAATGGAGTGTGTCTAAACTGTGTTAGTTGCAGAGCTGATCATGGTATTAGAATTTATAGGACTCCTATAAGAGGTTGGAAAGGTTGAAGGGGAGAATAAAGTATTATGCCATCACAACTTGATCTCTGATTTGGATCTTTCCCTGTCTCACCAATTCCTGTATAATTCAAGTTATATGTACAACATGGATAGAAACTCTGGCTTGTCCAAGCCAGGTTAGTCAATCCTGTAGGCAGATAGTTGGATGTACATTTTGCTAAGGGATTCTGTAGTCTGTGTTCAGCTGCAGCACTACAAATCAAATAGAAGATGCCTGTTGTGGCAGTGTTAAGGTTTAAAATTCAACACAGTATGACTGTAAAATATAGTTTAAATTCTTGATCTACAAAGCCCTTTAGCTTCTTCAAATTTTTCTGCAAGTCCTCATTTTCAAATTACAGCAAATTGAACATAAGCAATTTTTACAATCTAGCAAAAGGGTTTTATAGTCATAAGTGTATCCCACTTACAGTGGGATAACTTGTGTTTGCATGTTAAATATTCAATGTATCCTTACATAGGTGAATTCTGTACTCATTACTACTTGTTACATCTGATTGATGTACATACTGTATGTACTTTTTTCATTGTTTTGCTTCTCAGGATCAGCTCTTTATGGAGAATGTTGGTGCCGTGAAGCAGCTTTGTAAACTAACCAACAATCTTGAAGTAAGAATAGAAGAATTGGAACAGTGGAATATGAAACTGGCCAGGCTGAAACGGATGAGCAGTTTAAAATCAACAGCCAGTGAAGAGAGCAAAGTCAGGTATCTCTGTCAGAGGTGTTCTCAGATAGTTGTCACAGAAATTGGTGAAGTGGTTTCTGTGGTAGAAGCAAAAACTGATTTTGCTTGACAGTGGAGTTCAGCTCATTTCCAGCATGTAAGTTGTGCAAAAAATGCAAATTTCTCATATTTTTTAACTCACTGACAAAATTAATATTTGAAGTGGCTGTTAAATCACAATAATTTTTGTAATTGCTTCAGTTGCATAAAGCAAGGGCAGATTATGTCCATTTACAGTTCTGGATCCTGGAACTTGCTGCTAGGAGAAATATGCAGAGCTTCTTCAGCAAGAAAGAATCTTCATTAGTGCTTCAGTGGAAGTGATGAACATTTCCTATTTCTAAACCATTTCCCCAAGTTTTCTTTGAAATCAAATGTAGCATTTAATAGCATTCACCTGAATGAAGTAACTGGAGGCCTTTGTTCTTGAAAATGAATCTGCTGACACTTCTGCCTTTCTCATTTTAAATGTTAAAATTGCAAAAGCAAGTGACATTAACACTCTATTGAAAATGCCTCTTTTTCATTTACTAGTTGCTGAAGCATTTGAATATTAAAGAGATCTTGTCTCTTACAGCAGGTATAGTCGAGCTACTAGTCTTTTGCCATCAAAAAAATCAGTCCTGCTAAAATCCAGCAAGGTGAGTGAAATTAAATATATGAAATATGCCTATGAGAGAGTCTTTGTAAGTGCTGAAATATTGGTGAAAGCTTTCATGTTTCTAAATTTAGAATAAAATTCCTTAGCCAGAATTATTTACTGCCATGCTAGAAGCTTAAAAACTAACCGTTCAGAGATAGAAAATATGTCAGACACTTCTGCTTCTTGCCTGTCCATTGTGTGTGTGAGCAGATCCATGCTGTGTAACGGTGTGAAGGTGGAGGTCAACAGGACAGAATTGTTGAGTCTATAGTGCAGTGCACTACACATGTTACAGTGCAGCCCTGCAGAGAAATGACCATTTTGGTTTGGATAATTGTTCCTCAGCTTTCTTCCTTGGATGAGTCTTTCACTGTGTTTTGCAGTTAGCATCTCCTGTTTTGTGCTGAATTATGCTGTCTTTTAGGTGGTTAAGACCTGGACAGGATGTTGTTGCTATTGCTGAATGGCTTCCTCTTGCCTATATCCTGGTATAGAAAGAAGAGATGCCTTTTCACAGGGGTTGAATTAGTTAGGGAATGTATGTTGACCTTTTTCAAGACAGTCTTCCTAGGCTGCTAAGTCCTTTTCTTTAAGATGAACCAGCACTCTTTTGCCTACCTTGCCAGTGCCAAAGAGCAAGACAAAATAATAGGTCAAATGTTCTTTATTCCATAATGAGAATCAATTGCTCCATCATCTTAGATCATCCTACTTGTCTGGAAAGTGCTCCTTTTCTGTATTTATACCAGCCCTGGTTTAACATGGTCTGAGCATATACTGAAAGCTGCTCATCTTTTAGTTCTGGCCACTGCTTACTGAGTTCTTAATTTGATTTTGAAATGCTTCAAGAGTATGAAAAGTGACAAAAATAAAAGAGAAGGAGCTGTTATTTTTACCCATCCTTTCTTCCCGTGTATTGTTTGTGACTATCAACAGCATGCAGCACACTCACAGTTTTAGGGAGCCTTTCATTACTCAATGTTTTCTCTCTAGATGTTGACTCCTATATAAGGATGACTTGTATGGTTCCTCTGAAGGAGACAAGGTTAACTTAAAGTCAGGCTAGTGTAGTATTTCTTAATCTACTAGCAATAGCTCAGTTATGTGCCACTTAAATTAACCCAACATTCGTTTTTTTCTAGGTTTGCTTGTCAAAGACAAAAGAGTCTTTCTCCGTGAAGATTTTCCGGGTGACCATAATAGCTTTGATTGCTATTATGGCACTATGGTAACAGTTCATTGTCAACAAGTTGACTTGTTTCTCCCTTCCTCTTTCTACTTATCTCGTCAGAAAGAAGATTTCAATTTTTTCCTTCTTCTTACTCTTCCTACTCAAAGAACATGATGTATTAAAAATAACTGTGAATATGCCTGGTAATATTGTAAAGTTGAAATTGTTTTAGAAAAGCGAGATACTCATGTGGTGCGCACACAACTAATCTGTCAGTGTCACAATGTATGATGCACCTTGAATGTATCTCGGTGGCTCATGCTACAGGTGCAAATCTGGACTCGTGAGACTGCATGTTTTATGCAATCATTCTGTGCTGAAATACGATTTCTGATGTACAGAGTGATTCTGTTGTGTGAAATGAAGCTAAGCTTCTTCCCAATGTGGTGGGCAGTCCCGTGACTCTGAAAGTTTAACTTGTGACATTGGACTTGTCGAAAGGAAAGTATGCGCTGGACGTTTGAGATTGCCATTTTCTGTTTCTAGTCCAAAAACCTGTTGCTTACAATCTCTCTGTGAACTGAGTATTTTGAACTGGTGTTGTGATTCTATTTACAATGGAAAACTGACCATATTATGTGTTGAATACAAGTATATGTATATATACAAGTATAAGAATACGATACTGTATACAAGTATCTGATCTAAACCCCATTAAATTCAGGCAAAATTTTTCACACTAAAGGGGAAGTGATCAGATAGTTAACTCTTACATTACTACATTTGGACAAGGTGCTGTAAGGTATTATTCATGTAATGTTACATAAAAGATGGATGTAATTCTACAGAATAATTCTCTTTCTACAGTGCTTTGACGATATCGACCCTATATTTACTTAGCGTTCATGACAGACATTTTGAAAAACATCTGATTTACAGGCAAGTAGTTAAATTAGTGTAGTGAATTAGAATTAGTAATCTATTGTGGACCAATCTATTTTGGTCCACAGCTCTGATGTCCATTTCTTAATGAATTGGTTTTCTTTTTCTTCATCATCAGTACCTCAAGTTCTGTTCTACTCTCTCCCTCTACCACTACAGCAGGTACTGTATCTCTGCTGGTCTGCATACACATAACAGGCCTTCAATTTCTGTGCTATTATAAAATGCCAATAGACACACAGCACTAGTGAGAATTGTGTCTTTTTGTTTTTTTTCCTTTAGCATTGCAGGGGGAAAGTACAATTTCTCAGAGCACACAACCCATCAGCAGAATCCCTGAAGTGAATTTCTGTGACATTTTGCCTTGTGACAAGGTCTATTGTTGTCCAATTCATCAAACAAAAGTCAAATCTCTAAGTTATGAGAAAAACAATGCAAAGGAGAAACGTAAGTTGAAACATAAATTTCTATTATTTACTTTTTAAGTAAAGGCTATATGAAGAGTGTGAGGGAATGGGCAAGAATCTTTAAAGGTAGTTAGCTTCCTATGAAAGAGCCTAGTCCAGAGAACTTAAAAAATCCTGATATAACTAATCATCACTGCAGTTGATATGTTTTTGAAAAATCTGGCCTGGTTATGTTTAAGAATTTTGGGTCCTAAAGTGTTTTGCCTGGTGTCCCTGTTCTTCCTGACCATTCATGGTAAATGATTTCATGTGAACCAGAAAGTCACTAGTCTTTTTAATTAACCTTTAGCTACAGTTGAATGAGGGTTGATTAGGAGTAGTAGAGGGTGAATTAACAGATCTAAAAAATCCCAAAACACTTAATGGTGTCAGAGTGTGGTGATGCTATATCTTTTCTGTGGGCAGAGGCAGAAATTCAACTGCCAGAAAACATAAAACTTAGAATGAAAACTCTGCTCATTCAGGCAGGGTTTTTGAGTAGAGAAATGTTATTTGAAGTTAGAGCTCTATGAAATAAATTACTTCTACTGGAACGAATTTTATTTCAGATATTGTCTGTCAGATGTTATATGTGTACTATATGAGTAGGTGTATTGTCTACAACTTTTATAATATTTATAAGAAACATTTTATACATAAAGGTATGCACAAGTTGTTGGAATCTGTATTCCTCTTTCCCAGACTTTAACCTTGTCAATGTCTGGAAGCAAGTGTTAATATTACTAAACCCAACATTTATACTCTTCCTTTCTTGGCCTTGGGAACAACTCTTGCACCAACCACGATCATCGAGTTGAGGTGAAATTGGGGATGGATGTAGTTCAGCCTCTGAAATACAAATGTCTGCCAGGGCAGGCATTGCCAATTGCTGTGACACACTTACCACATGAGCTGTTTTGGTGGCATTCACCCACTGTCCATTCTTTGTACTGCAAAGTGCTGCTGTCTGCACACAAGCTGCATGGCATGTAAGTGGTCCCTGCGGTTCTTGTGATTAGTGCTGCAGTAAGCCCTGTGGCAGATACAGCTCAGTGCAGTGCTTTCAAGAGGTCATACCTAAGTGATTCGTATTACTCTGAAACCTGAAAGAGTGTTGATTAATTAAAAAGACATTAATCTCATTTACAAATGAGGGAACCGTAGATGGATGAAAATGAAATATGAAAACCTTTTATCCCCAGCTGGCTGATTTTGATATTAGGTGGAAAGAGAAGATAAGCATAAACACAAAGCATTACCTTCTCAAGGTCTTATGCTCCAAATAGCATTAAGTGTGGATCCAGGAGTGAAAAATCAGCACAGTACACAAGCTACTGAGAGATTTCAGATCTGAACAAGTTTAATGAAGCTGAATGTATCCCCAGATGGAAGGTAACAATGTCAATATGAAATCCAAACAGAAGGAAAACCAACAAGCTGCTTAATGTAGCTGTAGCCAGGATAAATGAAAAGGAAATTGTTTTCAGAACAAAATCTAAGAGTTAAATATGGGTAATAAGATAAACTGGATATTTTAGAATCAGATGATTAGTCTGATTCATGGCAAGATAAAACTATTTGAAATTACAGTTGAATTAAATGCTAATTTAGGAGTTCATATTTAACAGACCTTTTACTGTTCCACCATGTGATACCTGAATACTGTGGGTGCAGGCTACTATTGAGTGCATTCATTGTAGCTCCTAATCCCTTGCATTTCAGATTTGTTGAGGAAAAGACTGTTAGGAGTGTTCAAGTAGAAACAAAAGCATTAGTTAAACAGGATAAAATTTATTAAACAAAAATTCAGCACATCTTTATGAAGTCTAGCTTCATGTGGCCTTTTTTCCTCATACTTTGTCTTAGTAACTGTTTTCTCTGAAGGATTTAGCCTTTTTAACTCCTGTTGATTTCAGTGGAACTGAGGAGCATGAATACCCTTCCGCATCTGGGCCTTTTCTGCTCTCTGCTTCCATGCCGTTTGTGCTCCGTGCTCGCCCCTTCATGTTAAGTGTCACTGGTAACCAGGGGCTGTCCTTACTTTATCTTAAGAGTGTTGTTTCTGACTTGTGTCTGTCCTGTCACAGTAAAAGCTTGGTGACGGCTCCTGCTGGATTTTGGTCAGCTTCATGCATTTGCATTTATTGCCTTCAGACGGTAGTTAATGGATTCATAGCAAGGTACCACCACCACAAGAAATCATCATCAGGTTTTTTTCCATACTGCTGATATAATATTACAACTCAGGTGAACTAAAATCAGAAAGTGTTAGAGGAAAAAAAAAAAAAGGATACCACATTATTGGATTTGTTGATCTGAATCTTATCTGAAGATAATGGTTGTTCTCATTACATTCTGGTCGTGCTCGTACTTTTATATTTGTTATTGAACTGGATCTTCACACCCCACACAGGCCTTTAAGAAAACCCTCAGAGTTACTGTATGTGACAGAGTGGAAGTTTAACATAATTTATTGAAGGCTGCTATGGTGTTTTTTGGTGGTTCCTGGTGTTCTCAGTTGACAACTTGGGCTCCAAATAAAAATAACATCATGGTCTGGTTTTCTGCATTTCACTTGGATTGCATCAGCTTAAAGGAAAATGAAATAGTAATTTTGTGATGAGTGAAAAACCAAGCAAAAATGAATTTCTATACTGGTTACTGATTTGGTGTAAATAGCTGAAATCTTAGTGAAGTAAATCTGTCTTCATCCTAGTTTTTATACAAAATTCTGATAGCCATTTAATGCTTTTTTCCATCATCTGTGAAAGAATCACTGTATTAAATGTTTAATAATTGCGAATATTTAGTAAATATTCCTGCCAACACTTGCACAACTGAAGTATTTTATCTACAGAGAAAAAAACATTTTTCTTTCAGTGAGCAATCTTTTACCTTTACTAGGGGATACAGGTTTTCCTACAGAATAGTTCTCTGTTAATGAAAATGCAAAATGACAGAGAATGCTTAATGCATTGCTATCATACCTAGACTATTAAGAGAAAACTGAAGAAAGTGAAAGGAAGATGTAACAACTAGTTTGTAAATTAAAAGGAAGAGTGAGAAAATGAACAGGCTTTTTTAAAATCAGCTTCAAGACCTACTGTTTGTATATAAGTGATTGCATGTGTTCAGTAGCCATTTTTCTAGGTGTGTGGAACAGTGTAAAGAAATGGAACAGCAGATGTCTACTAAATGCAACAGTTACCACCTAAGTTGGCAGAACTGGTAGATTTGTATGATGAGCAAGTAAATAGAAAACAGATTAAAGGGATAACTGGCAGTGGTATCACAGTTTCATAACAAAGCACAAAAATAATAGAAATCCCAAAGATTATTCTGTATTACATTGCTTCTGGGCCCTCAGATTCCAGTTGTTGATGTGTTCCATGCTCTTGATCACCTATTAGCATGAGAAACGCGTGGATTTTCTTATTTCCCAACACTGAAATGAAAACCAAAATCTGGAATGAATCAGAAAACAGTAAGGTCAATCCAGCTGTCTTGTTTCAATCTCAGTGAAATAAGACATTTTGATCCTTCCTTTTGTAAAATAAATTTTTATATAATGAAACAGTGACTTCTGTTCTAAACAGTCATTTTGAAATCAGAATATTTCCTTTTGAAAACGTGGGAATGGAGCATTTTGGTATTCTAGAAATACACAATTCTGTTTTTTTTTCACAGATGAAATGGTATTTGAGGAAGCATGTTAGTTTAGGCGAGATCAGCATTTCTCAGTGCCAGTTTATTGGTAACCTGTCTCAGGACAGATTCTTGGCTGGCAATTAGTGTAAAAACACAGGAACAGCTTTAAACTATTTCCCATGGGATTGGAGGGCCTTCCCCAGGTTGTACTGTGTGATGATTATTCAAAAGATCTTTTAAAGTTCACTTTTCTAGAGAAGTGCTGAGAAAATTAATAGAATAATAATAATAAAAATTCATCAGTTTATATTTCCCAGCCTAGTTCAATGTTTGAGATTACAGAGGTGACATCAGTGAACATGGTGATCGTGTTGTTAAAGCTATGTATTAGTTTCTTTAATTTGGTGACTCATCCTTCTCTCTCTGAAGTCCTGTGTCTCACTCAGGTCAGTCCTCAGTGACATCTCACACTAAAAAAGCTAAGTTATTCCCCTTGCCTCTATTTGCGTGGCAGATGCCTATTCTTACTAATGCCACTTTTTCACTAAGAAGATAGGGATTTATGATCAGATTTGTGCTGAAGTGCCTGACTGGATGTTGACTTCTGCTTTGGCTCTCTGTTATAACAATTGCTGTTATTCTGTGTGTGGAGTGAAATCTTTTCTTTTAGGCTATTTTTTGAATTGCTTTAGATATCCTGTAGAGTTTCAAAAGCTTGTCTCTTGTTATCTACAAACTTCTTTTGACTGTGTATATCTTCTTCTGAATAGAGGTGCTTTGTATTTTAAAAGTTTCTCTTGTGGGTATGCATGCATTTATCCAAGAGACAACATAACATCTTCTGGTGGTGTATTCATATTTTGCCGTTACAACTGTGCAAGGCTAATTGGGGAATGTCTGTACATGCATCCTTTCACAGGAGACAAAAGTGACATGCTGCCTGAACAAGATCCAGTCAAAATATCCAGCGGAAGACCTGACCTTGGAAATGACTGTAAGTCCCATATTTTTTCAAAGACCCATTGAAATGTATGCTTGTATAACTTTGAAGAGCTACTTGTAGGCTTGGAGTTCTGCTGCTGGAATTTAGAGACGTTTCATTTATAACTGGTCATTATAGAGAATAAACACTTAAGAATCTATTAAATACCTGTGGTTCACTGTAATTTTCATGTCATTTCAATTTATTCTTGTATCTTCATAGACATTCTGGCTGCCTTCTCTAGAGAGTTCTTAGACTTAGCTTCAGATGCAGTAAAATGACAGGTGACAACCCCTCTTGACAGGGGCTAAAGTCTTGTTAGGTGCTCAACACTGCTAACCCTTTTACAGCAAAATGCTAAAGGATATGAGTGTAGTTTTTGTGTAAAGGAAGCATTTGGGGTTTGGCTCAGTTGACCGAACAGATTAAAAATGTCAGCTGCTCAAAGGGGCCATCTCTACCTTAGGATCCTGACACTGCCTGCATAGGTGGAGATGACACGAAGTTCTTTGACACAAGACTTTTGGCTTGATTTCAGGCTCCCCTTTTAGTGACTGTGTGCTGCTGTCAGAGCCAGTCTGGGCTGAAAATACAGCTTTTTTTTCTGTGAAGATGAGTATCTTCTGGTTACATATGTTATAATGGCATGCTCTGGCATTCATTCAGTATGAGCAGGATAATACCTTGTCTTTTCTGTTTATGTGGATGTTCTCTTTTAAGGCTTGGGGTTTTTTTATATAAATATTCGATTAAAAATTAGGCAATATTTGGATGGTAAACCATCTATACCCTGGCATGCATTTAAAGCAGATTGCTACCCAGGGGCTGTGTGAGATATAGAACACAGGATCTGCTTGTTGCCTGGGTACGCCCCTGTAGGATGATCTGGGAAAAATCATTTCCCTTCTGATTTTTTTTTGCATGGCTACACACCTCAGAAAAAGGCCTCTGTGGCATTACTATGATACGTGTTGTAGTGAGGTGCTGTGTCATAGGGATGTGTTCTGTGCTAGTTCTTTGAGACAAAGATGCTCCATTTCCCTCTGTCACTTAAGCATACATGTGGATATTTGCATGCTGAAAGTATGTACTACCACACACGTGTTTTATAATCAGAGCACAGGTCAGCTAATAATCACCAAGTTTCCCTGCAAAGTAGGGAACTGTTGCTGTAGAACAGAGGAACAGAAACACAAAACCAATGTTCCCATTGTGATGTGAAGAGCAGGCTTAGGCCTGCTGAGCCAGGTCCTCCTTGTGCCTCCTGCACCACTCTGCAAGACAAAATATCAGCAGCTTGATGCTGTAGGCAACAGCTGAAGTCTGGCTATCTGCTGATGGCTCACACACTCCCTCCACACCTGGGTCTTCCCCAAACCTTTGGAAGTGCGAGCCTAGGTCCACTCAGGGGGATTAAACCTGTTCAGCCCCTTCTGTCTGAGGGCCCTCCACGGTTCAGACTGAAGTGTGCTGGTTTAGGTGTCTAAGATGCTGCAGGTCCTGACTATGGCCCTGCACTGGTTGGATGCTGTAGATGTATCCAGAAGAAATAAGCTTTTCAGGATGCAGCTCAGTGCAGCGATTCCTAGGCCAGATGTGAAAGCAGAAGCTGTGGTGCTATGTTAGCACACTGCTTCTTGCCACCTAACTCTCTGCAGTGTTAATCTGCCTCAGGGAAGAGCCACACCACTGTGGCTATACTCTTCATTGTATATTTAGAATCTTACAAAACTCTTAAATTCTTGCAAGTTCAAGGCAACATTTTATGAAGAAATTATAATATTCATTAGAGTTAGGTAGTTTTCCTGCACATAGGATTAGAAACAAGTTTTGTTGCATTCCAAATTTTTTCTCTCAGCAAAGGTAATGTTTTTCAAATTAATGATGACTTGCATGAGCATGGCTTCTAGTACTTGACAATGAACACTGACGCATTTGTATTCTACTTGGGCTGCCATCAAAATAGCCTTCAGTGTCTGCCCCAAAGAAAATGTTACAATATTTATCCTTGTAAATTGAATGAGGATCTTATCTCTCCTGTGATGGCAGAACGAAGGTAATCAACCAAAGGCTTTTCAGTGACAGCTAATTTAGAACTGCAGCAGCTCCTGTAGTGGCAAGCAAGGGAGTAGATGCCACTGTATGAACTGCAATTTTATTATGTTCTTATCTAAGATTCTGAAATAATCAAGTATAAAACATTATTCTTAATACTTTTAGGGATTGATACAACAGTCAGTTCCATACAGATTTTGGAAACACAGCAAAGCATTGACAGTCGCTATTGTAGTAAAAATCTACAGTGCAGGTAGGTAAATTGTTTTATTTTGCTTTATTATATTAAGGAGATAATTGATGACAGCCAACATGGCTTCCCTAAGGGCAAATTGTGCCTGACAAATTTGGTGTCCTTCTACAACGGGACTGCAGCGTTGGTGGATAAGGGAAGAGCAACTGATGTCATCTACCTGGACTTGTGCAAAGCTTTTCACACTGTCAGACACAACATTCTTGTCCCTAAATTGGAGAGACATGGATTTGACAGGTGGACCACTTGGTGGATAAGGAATTGACTGGATGGTCACACTCAAAGAGTTGCATCAACGGCTCGATGTCCAAGTGGAGAGCAGTGATGAGTGGCGTTCCTCAGGGGTTGGTGTTGGGACTGGCGCTGTTTAACATCTTTGTTGGTGACAGGGACAGTGGGATTGAGGGCACCCTCAGCAAGTTTGTGAAAGACACCAAGCTGTGCGGTGCAGTGACACACTGGAGGGAAGGGACGCCATCCAGAGGGACCTGGACAGGCTTGAAGGTGGGCCTGTGCAAACCTCATGAAGGTCAACAAGGCCAAGTGCAAGGTCCTGCACATGGGCCAGGGCAATCCCAAGCACAAATACAGGCTGGGAAATGAGTGGATTGAGAGCAGCCCTTGCGGAGAAGGATTTGGAGGTATCAGTGGATAGAAAACTGAATATGAGCCAGCCAGCAGTGTGTGCTCACAGCCCAGAAAGCCAACTGTGTCCCGGGCTGCATCAAGAGCAGTGTGGCCAGCAGGTCAAGGGAGGGGATTCTCCTCCTCTACTCCACTCTCATGAGACCCCACCTGGAGTACTGTGTGCAGATCTGGGGCTCCCAATGCAAGAAGGACACAGACCTGCTTGAGCAGGTCCAGAGGAGGCCACCAAAATGATCAGGGTGCTGGAGCACCTCCCTTCTGAGAACAGGCTGAGAGAGTTGGGGTTGTTCAGCCTGGAGAAGAGAAGGCTCTGGGGAAACCTTATAGCGGCCTGCCAGTACTTAAAGGGGGCTACAGGAAAGCTGGGGAAGGACTCTTTACCAAAGGGTGTAGAGATAGGAGGAGGGCTAGTGGTTTTAAATTGAAAGAGGGTAGATTTAGATTAGCTACAAGAAAGAAATTCTTCACTGTGAGGGTGGTGAGGCACTGGCACAGGTTGCCCTGGGAGTGTTCAGGGCCAGGCTGGACGGGGCTTTGAGAAACCTGATCTAGTGGAAGTTGTCCCTGGCCATGGCAGGGGGCTTGGAACTAGGTGATCTTTAATGTCTCTTCCAACCCAAGCTGTTCTATGATTCTACAATTATGGTGGAATAAAATACTGTTTATGTGGCATGGCTTTTTGTCTGGCTTCTCACAGTTGTTTCCTCTAGCAGTCAGGAGTTTCTCCTACATTTTCATATTTTTTCTTTTAAAATTTAACTTTCCTTTTTTTTTTTTTTTTTTTTTTTTTTTTTTTTGCAAAGATACTGTGTATCTCAAAATCCTATATGTATTAATGCCACCATTTTTAGGTCTGGAAATTACAGCTATGTTATTCCTGTCAACAAATACACACCCATGGATGTAGAAATCTCACTGGAAATAAAGTAAGTACAGTTAAAGATAATACATAATAAGACAGCGGTTCATTTTTTGAATAGTAATTCTTGCCTGTTTTCTATTGTGCCATGAATTTGTCCCAATTCAGAGGAGTGGGACAAATCTATGCACAACTGAGTTCTTAAAGCAGACCTTTGGGTGGATCCTTTGCTGTCACATAGGCCCCATACTGCTCTCAGCCCAGTGACAGTTTTACCCATTGATGCAGATATTAAAATCCAGTAGTCTTAAGGTTCAGTCTAATAATCATTTGAGCAAACATGTATGCAGATATGATCAGGATTGTGGCCTTTGGCATAGGGATTTGATTTTTTTTTTGATGTAGCGAAATATTATTAGGAACATACATAAATAACTTCAGGGAACACCTTCTTTTGGCCTGTTGTGCCAAGCCCTGTAAAGGGGATTCTTGTGCAGGAACCTCTGGTAATGCATAAAATTGCGACTTACAGCAGGAATAAGAATCAGGCTTATTCCTCTCGGCACATATTTTCTCCTCAAATAAAAGCCTAGCTCCATTGTGTTCTCCCAGAAGTAACAAGTCCTTTCTTTTGGGGTTCTTCTCTGAGAAAGGCCAGCAGTACCCAGAACAGCTGCCAAACACTCTGCTTGATGACACTTCATGACTTCAGTCTGTCCAAGAAAGGGCTCTGTGAAGTTATGGATGGTCCTTAGGTTCAGTCTTTTGATCTTGAATGTTTTCCTTGTAAACATCTGCCTTTTTCAGATAGGAGGAAATGTAACAGTACTCCTGAAGTGCCTGTTTGTTTTCTACAGCCACTGAAAATTTGTCTTTTAAGTGTATGCCATTATAACCTAATAATACAGCCCTCCCATGTAGGGATTAAAACATCATACTCAGAGTTTCAGTGAAGCAGTTACTGATTTTATTTTGTATATTGGTTTGTGGTTTGTGGGGAGGGGGATTTTCAGTATATACATCTTCTATATACTTCTACTAAATGAAGCCACAAAATTAAAAAAATCAAAACACTTAATGAAGCCTAAACATATTTGGATTACTACAGTGTCCAAATACTGTACGATAATGTAAATACTTAAAGAATTTGGAAAACTTTTAGGCCTACTGAATAAAGTCAAATGAAACCAACACACACTAGATCAGCTTATCTACAACAGAGAATCTGCATTACATGCTTTAAAATTGATGTTTCTTACAAAACTTTGTTAATGTTGTGAAAGCACATTTTGTTGAGAGGTGCTTTGTTGTTCCCCACAGCATAAACTATTCATGTCACATTTTCTTCACCTTCTGCTTTCATTTTTTCTGCTAGCCATTGTCATGTCTGAGTTCCTTTCGATCTCCAAGGCATTTTTGTTTGTTAGACTCTTCTCAGAAAAGCTGTCTGGTAAGCCAGGAAGTGCTGGAAGCTCTCTAGGGATAGTTTGGAGAAGATATGACCACAAGGCCCTTGCTTTTGAAGAATTCTGAATGAAATTTTGTTTACGACTGCTTTCCCAGACAAAATCTGGGATATTTTTACTTCTTTTTAATTATATATTTCCATGTGTACAATGGCAAATGGGAGTTATTTATACAGGTCCCTGTTTTGAGGCTTATTATGGGTTTGTCTTCCATAATATTGATGTTGTGTTTAGATGCCTGGGTACCCTCTGGCACAGGTATATTATGCCTATGCATGATGTAAGCCATGCAACTCAAGCATATCATAAAAACCCACATACAATAGCTTCTGGTATGAATGTACTTGAGGTTTGAGGAAGTTTAGTGTACATTTCTAGATTTATCTTAATGACTGTAAAGATCACCCAGATTTCCAAATGCAAAACACGCTTTATTCGTGGGAAGGAATGGGGCAAGCTTAGAGGTTGGTGGCTTACGTTTATCTCCATCATATCAGTCAGTGAAGTAATCTCCTCTGCTTTATTTCTCCACATATCAATTCTTTGATTTTGTTTGCCTTGTACGTATTTTGTATTTATATATATGATTCTGCTATTTAAGAGCAATCGAATAGATCCTTATTTTTCTCTGTTTCTTGAAGCACCACAGAACCACTAATTGTATTTCTCTGCAAAGTCACATTTGGAAATTATTGCTCCCATTATTCTTCAAGCCAAAACAGCAGGAAAGATTTCCTAGAAACCACACAGGTAAGATTTTTGCAGCAGTAATCTGGCTTGTGGGGATCATTTTTATAAACTACCCAGTACATGGCTCTTTTTTCCACTCTCGTATTAAAGGTAGTGTGCAAAACTGAAAATAAGATTGAACTTTATGTAGGAAAAAAGTGTTTATTTTGCTGATAGTTTTGGCAATTGAAGCCATGCAGTGCTGAAATAATTTATGATTAGCTTTAACGGTTCCTTGCTCTCCAGAATGGTGTTCCCTTCTATTAGCTCTGTTTGCTTTTCATAAAAGCATCTGAGTCTCATAAGTAGGAGGTCATGATGCCTCGAATGATGCTCTTGATTCAAGCAACGTTATGTGGATGCATTCCAGAGTAGAGGGAGATATGGAAGGTGGAATAAACTTGTAATATGTAGTTCTGCTGATTAGATTTATACACTACTGTTTGTAAGGAATGAATAAAGATATAAAAGAGACCATGAAGATCTTAATCTACAGAGTGTGGAAAGGAGGGTAGCTCGTGCCAGCTAGTCACCTTGGCCTTGTTAATAGTGTATTTATGGGCACTTGGAAAAAATTAAATAGTCCATTAGAACTTGACTCATAAAATTAATGGCTGCAAAATTCTGATCTTGATTGAGGTAGTAGAAATCCAAATGGTACTGAGTCTACCAGTCATAGCTGGCTTTGGCATGACCATAATGAGATGCAACCTTTTTGTAGGAGTCAGTTTTCTGCTGAATTTTATAAAAATCTATCTAGTGACTCTCTACAGGGACAGTTTTGAGTCTGCTTCAGCCTAACTCACCACTATAACCCTATGTATCTCAAAAAATACTTAAGAAATAGGATTACTTTTAACCCAGGGCCTTAGGAGGCAGTCCTCCAAACTCTTATCAACTCTACTGTTTCCATTATTGTCTATTGGTTAGTGAATTCCAGTTTTTAAGTCTTGAATTCACTGGAAACAATGGTAGTATTCCCCTTTCTTTCTGTGTGAACAGGATTTTACCTGTGAATCTCTCTAGGGAAAGTTCTTCATTGTAAAGCAAGAATTGTTTACATGTTGTTCTCTGAATTGGCTCAAGGGGAATAAAAGCTGTTAAAACGTGCTAGCTTTTCCCAGTAAAAAAATATTTAGCGACCAGATCTTGCAAACTTTTGATTGTCTCCAGTAAATTGATGAGGGCCTTTAACTCCCTTCAAATTATCTGTAAATATAAGACTTTTTCAAGGCCTTGATTTGTCTACATTGCTTGGAAATGTTTATTCTGGCTAAAACAGTAGGAAAGGCAGAAGCAAGGAGAGTAACATTTCTGAACACATCATAGGAGTAATCTCCCTGAAATTGGAAGTAATTTCAGAGGTTTTTTTAGATTTCTGAGCTATGGTGCCATGCATGGTATGTTCTTAATTGGTTTTAAATGACTTTTTCGGTGCTTTGTCAAATCAGAGCAGTTGGGATACCCACACCCTTAAGCTGACTTTCTGATCAACTTTTCAGATGTCTTTGCAAAAAGTTACAGGCTTCTCTGCAACTGCTGCAAAGCCATCAGAAAGCCAAAATTGTCCAAGTTTTGACCTGTCTGCTGTAATTCCAACAGAATTGAAATTAAGTCAGACCCAGAGAGTTTTGCAATGCAGAAATACCCTTGAAGCTTACTGCCAAAACTGGTCAAAGAGATTTCATGTGTCAACCTGAAATCCACATCAGAGAACTAAAGCTAACTAGCCTCTAGCAGCAGTGAGAATTCAGGTTTGATGTGACTCAGAATAGAAATACTGTCCAGTTGAAGAGGTTTTTTTCAAGAGGATTTTCCTAGGGACTGGAAAGCTTATTCCCTACCAAAGGCAGGGCAGCAATCAGTTGGTTTTAATAGTCTCACATAAGTTGTATCATATGAACATCTTCAACGGAGAGAATGTGTCAGAAAGTGAAGGGAGGAGGGAAAGATGAAGGAGTTGAAACACTAGAAACTGATGAAATAAAAGTTGCCATGGATCATTAGGTTAAAAAGAGGTGAGGATTGAATTTTATTTCATTCAATGTAGCATAAACATTTCAGATGCAAAATATATTATTTAATTTGTACATGGCAGGACATTGCAATCAAAAATAGCATGAAATCTTGTCCGCACCTGTTTTTGAAATGCTAAGCTACCCATATCTTTAGAATTTATAGAGGAACTTGCGCTGCCTTATGAGGAGCAGTAAAGTTGCTGTTTCAAAATCAGCAGAATTGCCATTTGCTACTATTACACCTGAAAGCTCTCGGGCCACCTGCCACATCAGGAACAATCCCTTTTTATTGTGGGGTTTGCTTGGAAAACTAGAGAGGGAGTTCAGTTATTCAGAGCCAGCTCAGCGTCTCTGGGAGCCAGATGTCTGTCAGTTCCTGGGCAGAGCTGATCAGAGCAAACCCACATTTGCTGGCTTTAAAGTCAGCACTTTGTCTTTAAATACTCTGACTATAGCTATCAAGTCTTGTTATCATAATTACTTTGCACTGCTTTTGTCAATGAAATGTTTCCAGAGCCTATCCTTCTCTCTAATTTAATGTGAAATAAGGTTATCTAATCTCTCTCTCTCATTTATCATCTAGGGACGTCAGCATATTTGGACTCTCCCTGTAGCTAAATTGTATGACAGTGCATACTATTTCCGTGTAGCTGCACCGGTAAGCCTTTTCAAATGGCATCCCAGCAAAAGACAAATAGCATCTGAACTGAGAGAAAATCCTATATGAATCTCCTTTATTTTTCTTCTGCAGGGTTTTGCAGGCTGCTCAACAGATCCTTATTTTGCTGGAATGTTTTTTACTGATTATTACTTCTATTTTTATCGGCAGTGTAACTAAAATGTTGCTGATCATTCCTGTTCTTTGGGGAAAACACGAGGAAGTTCTTGACACGAAAAAGAGACTTGTGAATGGCCCTGGATATTTTTTTTAAACCTCTTGCTGAGTTGTGTAGCAATTTCTTGGTGACTTCACTTTTAAATTAAAAAAGAAGGATAAAAATAAAGTGTTTGACAGCAGCCATAGCTCTGCATTTCCAGGAACTGTTTCTAAAAGGATGTGAGGCAACAGAATATAAGATATGTAAATAAAATAATCCCGTTGATCATAGTGAAGTCATATGACATTGTGTATATAGCAGACAAGAACAATTGGGTGGGAGCTCTGCTGAGATGGGATACACTCCAGTCCTCAGAAGATGCTAAAATAATAAAATGTTATTTGCAGTCAGGAGACCAGCTTCCCTTTATTTATATATAAATCTATTTTTTTTTTTTCACTAACAAAACCAAAACCAAAGAAAACGTTGAGACAGAAACGTATCAATGTGGAAATGCCCTTTAAAATATGTGCTGTAAGTTAGGGAACAACAGGTCAATTCCGTGGTCTGTGTAAATATTTCCATTTCAGAAAGCAGTGCCATCATTACCATTACAATTGTGTGATTTACCTTCTCTGCTGCTGGTTGAATGAGATATATTTCAGCTACTGGATTTTTTTTTTTTTTTTTTTAAACTGTACGGCAGGAATGAACTATTTACTCCTAAATTCAGGTTATTTTTTTCTTGGTGTTTGTGATTTGTGCTAGTGTGATGGAAGAATAGAAATATTTGAGAAGAATAATGTCTTGCCTGCATGGCTTTCTAAGATGCATATGGATACACACTTGCATGTGAGAAATCTTTCTTTTTATATTTAGGAAATACATTTTTAAGGTAAAGCTATTTAAATTAAATTTCACATTAGTTGCTCAGACAGAAGGAAAACAGATGGGCTTCAGATGGGGTTAACTGCAATGTCTGTGGATTTTTTTTGCCTTAAATGACTCACTACTTTGACCTCAAAAATATACGGGTTTGGGTTTGTTTTGGTTTGGGTTTGGGTTTTTGTTGTTTTTTTTTTTTGTTTTTTTTTTTTTTACTGGGAAGCATTTATGGTGCAGGCCACATGATCTGTAATATCCAGCTGGACTTGGAACTCTGGATTCAAAAGCATCAGAAGTTTGTGCCTTTAGTTTTTTATGGTCCATACTTGAAGGTAATTCCTAAGAAGAGTCACCAGGTCACAGATGATAACGCATGTGCATTTTGAACAAAAACTGTACTTTTCTACACCCACCTGGTTTTCATCACACTGTTCTGGGTTGAAATACTCTTCCCAGTGGCAAAGAGCACTGCAGTACGAGAGTGTAAGCTCCCAGTGTTTCCTGTCATCCAAAAACTTCCTGTGATTAAAGTCTGGGGTGAGATGCATGTTGAATAGCAACTGTTTTCTCTGTAAAAATGCTTGTGGTGACTTTATTACACGTTATTTTGCCCATTCAAGAATTTTCACCTAGTTCTTTACTCCTGTCACATGTTTTTAGTAAGGTACACTTCAAGATTTTGTTTGGATTTAAGATGACAAGTCGTTGTATGAAGGCTATGTTCTAACATGTCCGAAGTAACAAGAATCCACCTTGGCAAAAGCTAGGGAGGAACTGGCAGGAATGAAATAGTTGGCATGGAAAAATCTGTGATAAATAATCTTTAGGCTCCTGAGAAAATCTGTGAATGACAATGAGTTGAAAGACTTTCTTAAATGGAATGACCTATTAATAGTAGTGATTTGATCATTTTAAATGGGGGTCAGATGATTTTTGTCCCTTTGTGACACTAATTATATTGGGGTTACCACTGAATGAGTTAGTACATCAGGGGGCCAGGAGAAAAAACTAGTAGTGTAACAGAACCCTGAGCATCCCTGAATATGCTTTCATTTTCTATCTAGAAGTTTAGTTGAAAAAGAAAAACTTTGCTATTTGCCTGGGATTTCACATACACCACACCTAAACGTGCAAGAGAAGATACCCAATGTAAAGATTCAGCCTACACTTGCACTATGGCTCTTTTATCTGAGAGTCAGCCAGGTGCTTGGTCTCCTGGAAATCCCAGAAAATGTTTTAATTCTCCTTCCCCCTGGATAATGTTTTCATAATACATTGATTTGCCAGGCATGTGCTGGCTAACTGTACAGTGCGTGTACAACGGGTTCAGCAAGCCTAAGGGGTGTCAGCCCGGACTGGTTTTAGCTGGGATGGAGTTAATTTTCTTCAGAGTAGCTTGTATGGAGCTATGTTTTGGATTTGTGCTGAAAACAGTATTGATAACACACTGATGTTTTAGTTACTGCTGAAGGCTGCTCACACAGGGTCAAGGCCTTTTCTGCTCCTCACCCACCAGCGAGCAGGCTGGGGGTGCACAAGGAGCTGGGAGGGGACACAGCTGGGACAGCTGACCCCCCCTGACCAAAGGGATGTCCCAGACCATAAGATGATGTGCTCAGCAATAAAAGCTGGGAGAAAAAGGAGGAAGGAGGCGAGGGGACATTTGGAGTTACAGCATTCAGCTTCCCAAGTAACCGTTATGTGCTGGAGCCCGGCTGTCCTGGAGATGGCTGAGCCCCTGCCTGCCCACGGGAAGCAGTGAATGAATTCCTTGTTTTGCTTTGCTTGTGTGCAGCTTTTGTTTTTCCTGTTAAACTGTCCTTATCCCAGCCCATGAGTTTTCTCACTTTTGATTCTTTCCCCCATCCCACTGAGGGTGGTGTTTAGCTGCGTGCTGGGGTTAAACCATGACAGAGCCCCCCCAGGTACACAGTGGGTGATGTACATACCCGGATTTCGCTCCATTTTGCTGTCGAAATACAGAAGCTCTAGGAATGATTCTCACTCCCGTATCTGCTGAACCCTCACTTTCCTGTGTTTGGGGAGGTGGAACTCATCTTGACACCACTGGACTGGTGACATTCTCTATCTCGTGCAGCCCTTCTTCATTGTACAACATTGAACTAGGACTACTATAGAAGAATGCCACAGGGAAAACATGGCTGGCAGCATTTTTTGTCCTGAACAGCTAAAGGAAATATGGTTTGACTTTTCCAAATGAAAAACATGGTACTAAAAAGTTCAAGCATCTCAGTTGCTTTTTGGCATTTCTTTGTGCTCAGAGATACAGTTGCAGCAATTTTTAATGGTGGTCATTATAATGCAATTTGAAACAATTTTTGTGATACTGAATAACAAATTATTGATGTTTTATGTACATTCTACCTGGAACAGGAAAATCCCTTTCCCTCACTTATTTTTAACACAATCTGGATGAGCTGCAGAAACCTCCAGACACCCATCACTGGAATATTTCCCTCTAACTTGAGAGGGAGCTGAGGCAAAGCAAACTTCCATTCTGGATGATAAACACAGCTGAAAATTGCAGAAGGCAAAGGTAGAGCTGGAATAGGGCCATCTGGTACCATCTGATCTGGGTTTCAAGCCATGCTGTTCGTACCAAGAACATGATAACAGCAATTCATGTTTTTCCTTGACTGTAACACAAATTACCTAACCTTGCTTCCAGTAAGTTTGACCTAGTGGTGGCAGCGGCATTTTAAGTAAGGACCTGAGATCACTTGAAAGCCTGGCACACTTAAGTGAAGAGGCTACAAAGGGAAAATCCTGTATGGGCACCCCATGGAAACCAAATACGAGGCAGAAAAGCAGAGCGAGTGGTTCTGGGGAATGAGTCTGCAGCTGGAATAGCTGATAGCCTTCAGGCACAACCCTGTCTGAAGCTGTAGACAGCAGTGAGCAAAGGGGCATTTTGCTTGCTGGCTGCAGTTCAGTTCAAATGATTCTTTAGTTCAGACGAGACCTAATAGTTGGTGAGGCAGCGATTCATGTCGACCAGGTGAGATGATGTGAGCCTGCTGTGAGAAGCTAGTAATCCCAAAACTGAGTCTGGTGTCCCGCACAGCACAGGTCTGAAGGGAGACCTGGAGGTGAGCTTTTCATCGAGCCCTGCTTATGTACATTTTTCTAGGATCATAGCTTGCTAGAATCAGAAAAATACTTGCATTAAGAATTGTTAGTGGGTTAAATTCTGCTCACAATACAAGAAGTTGCTCACTCGGGGGTCACTGACTTCTTGAATTACAAATCCATCACATGGAACCTGAGCCGATCCAGCTGCAAAATGAAAACCTGATTTACATCAGGTTTACTCTTTCTGTTGGTCTGAGTGCTAGAGTATATTTGAAATAAATCAATTCATTGTAGGTATAGAAACTAGTTTCAGGATACACAGAAAATTAATCATAATTTATGAACTAGTTGCAGTGCTTTAAGACTTTTATATGATATGTTGCTTTATATGAAGACATGGCTTTTATGTATGACATTATAGTACACTTAAAAGCATTGAACACATCTGGTGGAAACTCATTATAGGAATCATTTGCTAATCTTACCTTCATCTTGGAATAATTCTACTTAATGTCCCAGCTAAACTGTGCTACAGAGAAACAATTTCCTGCATATTTGTGTCCTGTATTGCTGACAGTCTGCCACTGCAAAATCCCAGCTGCTCTGTTGGCTTCCATGGATGGCTCTTCCACGTGATGTTTGCTTCCTCCCACGTTCGCTACCTGTGGGACGAGGCAAAAGGCAGGACCAGTTGTTCTCATACTGACGGGGAAAGCAGGCTGCTCCCTCACACAGGGAACTCCTTCTTGCCTTTGGAAATACTAAAATTGTTCCTGTCTATTTCTTTGTGTGGGCACCAGTTTGGGTTTTTTTATCTTCTTCGTTTCAGATTTTCTTGAATCTTGTAGAAACAATATGGCTGAGCCTCTACTGAATTTTATTGTAATTGGTGCACACATTAAAAAATGTTAGTAAGCAGAACAGGGAGGTTGATCATATCAGCTTGGAAATTTGATGTTCTGTTTAAATCCAGGATTTAGTTCATTCCAGACAAAAGAATCTTGAGTGATGGCTCTCAAGTTTCTTTGGGCAGATGGTGCCTTTTTGAAACAGGATGCTTGGGAAATTTTAGATTGTAGATCCAGAGCTTTGGATAACGTCTTTGACACAAGGAAGCTGGGATCCAGGCTCACTCCTCTGTAGACCTGTGGCCACTGATGAAGCTTTTATGGTTACATTGCTCAGTAATAAAAGTTCTTGAAGGGGAAGAACTAGGAGTGGGGCAGTGCTTTAAGGGTAAATGTTTTAAACACACTGAGATGCTCATAGTGTCACGTTTATATATGCTTGGGACTAATCAGCACTTTTGAAAAATCAGGCCAGTGAGGAGTGTATAGGTCTACCGTTAGCTTTTCAGTTTGAACGCTTTGATCTTGACATTAACTCAAAATCCTCATTAGGCTATAGAAACATTTCTCTGGAAAAAGCACGAACATTTTTTTTTCCTGGACAATGATGATCAAGTAATTGGAAGAAACAGTTTTTACTGTTATATTTCCACAACCCCTCCCTTTTGCTCCCCATGCTCTTTTGCATGCAAAGTATTTGTTAAATTTTTCTAATATGTGGGTGTGTTCGCTCACTGTGGAATAAGTAATTTTAATTACCGTCTGCAAACCACCGAATAATACCTGGAGTGGCAGCTGCTGGCCATGTCCCACGCTCTCAAAATCATTTGGCTGAAAGAACAGTGCTTTCTAAGCAAAGGCCGAGGCATAAGCATGTCTCAGTCCTAGATTACATACATTTTGTCCTCTGGCTTGCTTCCCCTGCCACTAAGCTTTGGGGAGTGCCGGGGGGCGGTTGCATCCCGTGGAAGGCGCCCGCAGCCTGGCTGCTGTGCCCGCAGGGGCCCGGCCCAGCCTCAGCCGTGCCCAGCCAGACCCACGACGTGGGACTCGCTGAGCCCATCCAGGGCAGCAGTGGTGTTCAAGGCACTTTAGTGAGTCCTAGTGTGTCACGTCAGGTCTAGTGTAGGTTAAAAAACAAGAAAAATTCATGCACTTACAACATTTCCGGGCACTGACGTCCTCATAAATATAGTCTTCTCTCCCTGCTCCAGCTTCCCCAAATAGCGTGTTTTCTGTCAAAATAGCACATGAACGAACATTTTCACTGCAAGCCCAAGCCCTATATTCAAAATAACAGGTTTCACACTGGCAATCCTGACCCAGTTTTAACCCTGGTTGCTATGGTGCTCTGCAGGCTGGGCAGCCGGTGGGGCAGGGTGACGTGGCGATGGCACACAAGCCTTTTGTTGCTCCTTGGCCTGGGTCCAGCCAGCTTGTCTCCCCCCTTCTCCCCCCACCCCGCAGCAGCCTACATCTGCCAGACGCCTGGCTGCAGCCTCTGCCGCCTCTCTGGGTCGGTCTCCGGGAGGAACCACCTTCTCCCAGGCACCCAGAGCCATTCCCCTGCAGACCACAGCTCCCATCCTTCGGCTGCGTGCCCCTGCACTGGAAAAGGCTTCACCTTCCCGCTCCCGGGCTTTGGGCAGGCTCCCTCTCCTTCTTCACTCACTAGTTGCTTTCCAGCCGTCTTGTGTCCCGCTTTACTCCCTCCAAAAAACCGAACTCGTTACAATACTTTTAAAGGATGAGATTTAAAATAGGTCATCTTCTTAGTCACGGGTAGAAAGGGAAGTGAGTTTTAGGAACAGGATTTAAACCAAAACTCATTATTTTAAAGATGGATATTTTAATTTCTAGTTGATGTTAAATATATTGCAATTGCCTACACGCAGTAATATAAGCACAGGATTTGCAAATTTGAGTTTAATGTTAATTTAGCTGGTAGAGATGCTCTATGGGGTAATCAGTGCTTTGCATTTTTCATTCAATCCTAATGTTACACTTTCCCTTCCACAACATAATCTAAACCACAGACCAGCTGGCTGTGTTGATTAAAATCCTCTTTCTGTTTTTTATTAATCTTCATGGTTTTGCCCTAGAATTATGAAGTGGTCATGGTCTATCAGGAAGAAAATCTGCTGGGCCAGAATGCTGTATTTAAAATTTGAGATTTCTGCCTAAAGCATATTGCTGATTCCTAAAATAAGTTGTGTCCTGAGTGCTTTGTTACATCCTCAGAGCCTTACATGAGTTTGGAACAGAGCTCTTCAGGTTAAATTACTTACAGATAATTCATTATGTGTGTGGCTGACACATTTCCTCACTGAAAAGCTAGATTAAGAGAATGTCATTAGAGGATGGGGGTGACAGAGGACTTCTGTTGTCAATAGGCCTAATCCTGCCTTTTGGAGCTGTAGAGTTGTGCACACTCTTTGCGTGGACCCTCATTGCCTTTACCTTGATGGCAGAGGAAGAATGGACAGGGTCAGGGTGTTGCTGCAAGGGCGAGCACTGACCCAGACATCAGAGGTTCCTCGGGATGCACAACAAAAGGATGGGAAACGTTCTCAAGTGGAAGGTGATGGAGCAGTGGGAAGGATGCTCTGATTCCCCAAATTAGTCCAAAGGCTGCTGGGGCACAGCCTTGATCTTCCTTGCCCTGCAAAGCTCCTTGCACAAAGGCCGTTTGTTCAGACTGGGTGAGATTCACCCCAAACAAGTGACAGTCTCTGTGTGTTGTTGCTTTTTTGTAAATAATGATTTGATCACGATGAATTGATTTTTTAAAACTAATTTGATGTGATGATTAGGCAATCACTTTAGCATGTGTTTTTTCAATTATCTCTCATTAACAAAATGAGGCAGTAACTAAGCATAATATATCTTTTCCTGATTTCTCACAAGGTTAATTAAGACTGCGGATATTCTTGCTGAGGGGCTTGGATATCTTTGCATATAGGGATGGTTAAAGTGGTTATATCCTGTGGTTATGCCACTGTACTTTGGCCAAGATCCTATGTTTAAGGACGGTACTCAGTGAAAATGTTACATAGGTAGAGAGATCTGCCTATAGATCTTTGCTGCACTCTTCCCTTCCCTACTCTGTGTTGGTGTTGGTGATTGTGTCAGTGCATACATTTGGGGCAGAGAGAGCACAAAATGGTGATGGACGCTTATAAATAATGCATACTAATACCTCAGAATTTTGCCACAGGGAGCCTGGTTTAGTCTTAGGCTTTACTCTTTGTTTTCATAGTTGCACTTAACTACAAACACCCTCTTCAGAAGGAAATGGGAGAATTGGTTACCTGGGATGTGGAAAAGGCTGAGGTACTCAATGACTTTTTTGCCTCAGTCTTCACCAGCAAGGACTTCAGCCACAACGCCCAAGATGCAGAAGGCAAAGGCAGGGACTGGGAGAATTAAAAACTGCCCACTGTAGGAGAAGATCAGGCTCAAGAACATCTAAGGGACCTGAAAGTACACAAGTCCATGGGACCTGATGAGATGCATCCGAAGGTCCTGAGGGAACAGGTGGATGAAGTGGCTAAGCCACTAAACATCGTATCTGAGATGTCATGGCAGTCTGGTGAGTTCCCACTGACTGGAAAAGGGGAAACATAGCCCCCAGTTTTAAAAAGGGAAAAAAGGCAGACCCAAGGACTACGGGCCAGTCAGTCTCACCTCTGTGCCCAGCAAGATCATGGAGCGGATCTTCCTGGAAACCATGCTAGGGCACATGGAAAAGAAGGAGGTGATTGATGACAGCCAACATGGCTTTGCCAAGGGCAAATCATGCCTGACAAATTTAGTGGCCTTCTACGATGGGGTTAGAGCATTGGTGGATAAGGGAAGAGCAACTGGCATCATCTACCTGGACTTGTGCAAAGCTTTTGACACCGTCCCATACAACATCCTTGTTCCTAAATTGGAGAGACATGGATTTGATGGATGGACCACTTGGTAGGTAAGGAATTGGCTGGATGGTCGCACTCCAAGAGTTGTGGTTGACAGCTCAATGTCTAAGTGGAGAGAAGTGACAAGTGATGTTCCTCAGGGGTTGGTGTTGGGACCAGTGCTGTTTAACATCTTTGTTGGAGACATGGTCAGTGGAATTGAGTGCACCCTCAGCAAGTTTGCTTTGAATCCTATGTGATTGCTATGTGCTTTGAGCTTTAGCAAGGGGCTTTAAGATTTTCAGGTTGAAGAGTCAGGGCTCCAAATTTTTCTAGAAGCTTTTCTCTCACTTGGAGGAATGATACACCTCAGCTCATGTGTCTCACCATTGCAGGGGTATCCGTCCTACAGCAGAGTAGGACACAGAGATGGGCTGTGAAGATGTGAAGTACCTGCAGTGTTAAAACCACGGCCTTGCATGACACCAAGAAGAAGGAAGTTTCCAATAAGCCAGCTGTCTATGACCTGAACTGTTGAACACAAGCTCTGACTATTTGGGAATTAATCTTTTGAAGCTGTTCTTTCTCCATCTCCTTGCGCATGTCTTAAACCTTTGTGGGGTACCTTTTAATCGGAGTTACATTTCTGTTTCTACGCTGGTTTTGACTATGCTGCAACCTATTTTTTTAAAAAGCAGTTCCTTTTTCTTACTTTGGAGGGTCTTGGCTGCAAAAAAATCAGTTCTGACTTCCCCTCTTGCCAGTTTACCTTTGTCAGTCTTCCAGGCATTGATGTTAGTTTTCGAAGCTCTGATTTCTTCAGTCATAGATACTTGCACTAGCAGCTTGCTGTGGTAACCTGCTTGCCGATAAGGGTGCTGGTGAGCATTGCTTGGCTGGTTCCTGAAGGTTCATGGGCACTACTCAGAAATTAAAAACCCCTAAAGACTACTGGGTGGGGCAGTTTTAATCACCTTGTTTTTCTTCTCATGACTGCACAGTTCTTACCTTCACTGGACTTGTGCCATCTCAGGCATTTTCTTTACCACTGTGTACGTAGTGGCTGGGCTCTGGCCTCAGACCTGACTGGTAGCAGTGTTCAGTCGATGCTCTTCCCCTGAAGCCTCCTTTGTTCCCATCTTGCTCCCCACTACAGCTTCATGGCTGAAGCAGCTCAAATTACCCTCTTGATATTTATCTTACAACTTTCCTTTATGTTCTGCTTGCTTTAAGGTTCAGTCTTTTACCTTGTCTCTTGGTAAATATGCCAAATTCAAAATTCATGCCCTTATCTTCCATAAATGTTCAGCAGCTTGGGACCTCTCTGCTGGCTTTTGTGTTTCTCCCTCCTTTTCTGCCATCAATTTTGCCCCTGTGCTTTCTCATGCAAATCCCTCTTCCAGTTCAGTTTCCCACAAATACTAACCTAAATGATCAGGGGCTCAGCCATGCCACCCAAAATATATTTTAAGAGCTTTCATACTGTAATGTGGTTTCTTCAATGAGCTTCTGTGCTTGTGTCTTACTGACTTCAGCTGGTGCCACATAGCACTGGTGGTTCTTCTTTATGGTCAAAGAAAGGAGGCCTTGGGGAGAGCAGACCTCTGGGAGATTTGTCCACAGTGTGATACTGGGAGCTTTGTTCACAAGCAGGAAATACAAAAATTAACAGAACTGCTTAACAAAAAGAATGCCAACTCTGCATTTCTGGTTCACTTTACTGTCCCTTAAGGTTTTCTTTTTGCATTATGTGTTTAAATGTATTTTTCAAGACAACAAAGAGTGGCCTGAAGGATCTCACTCAATCTGTCTGTCTTGGAGAGGTTTAGTTTCCTTGCTCCTGTTCAGACAGCTACTATGAACCATACCCTCTGTGTTTACTTACTTAATCTGAATTAGGTATCATGGTTACACAAATCAAACCAAAAACTGTCTGTGTATACAAGAAGCAGCTGATGTTCTGTTTCTAGAGTAAAATACATGTAGAGAAATTTTTTTTCAGTGCAGAACGAAGAAAAAATCCAAACCTGCCAAAGTCAAGAAGATTAAAGGAGATAGTTGCAAGAAGAAGACCCACATACTGTACATAATATATGGCTTTCTTTCTCTTCTATGTTTGCCCTCCGAAAGATGAAAAATTACAAGGGCTGAAACTGAAAGCATCATTAAATGTTAATCTGCTGGGGCTTCCTTAGTGCTAGCGAGGTCAGGCTCTGCCACAGAACATAGTGACAGATGGAGTGTCCTCCGTGAAATCACGCCGCGTTGCCAAACGCCGTCGGTAGACGAGCTGTCTGTCACCGTGCGCGTGCTCTGGCCGCGCGCCCCGGGGGGCTCCCCCCCAGGGCCGGGGGTGCTCCGAGGGACCCGGCCCCCCGTGCAGGGAAACGCCGGCGCGGGCACGTTGTGCAGACACCGAATCAGAAAGGACGGGCTTTA